GCAACCAAAGCCGGAAGCGATGACTTCCCTAGATGGCGAAGAGGACGGACGTACTATAACCCATACATATTTAAATCAATATTTTCGCAATGATGACATGTAACTCTGGATCGAGGCGAGCGTACTGAGCGCAGATGAAATGAGGATGATACTGCAGGAACGCGACAGGAAGGGGTTCGTCACTCAAGCGCACCCCGGGCGCATACCAACGCATAGCGATGCGGTGCAGGAACGTATAACGCGTCGCAGCCATTGCTAACAGGAGAGGAACTGACAAGATGAAGCACTCAATGGATGTCTTGATGGAAGGTTGTGAGCGGAAGCGCTAACTATGACGTTCACCCGAGGTTCCAAGATTGTTGGGGCCGAGTCATGTGGGTCACGTGTCTTTCCAATGCTCACCCCGAATTTACTTGGCACGCTAGCGACGCGAGCGTGAATGTTTTTGCCTACCGCCCTCACGCTCCGACAACCCAACCACCCCGCAACCTTTTGACCCGGCCACGAACCTCACCTTCCAACCCCATCGAATTCCATCGAGATCTGTTTCCTTTCTCATCTATACTGATCCACAAGTAGACAATTTACTTCTTTCGGTATATCAGGTCATATATCGCGCTTGGATCACTATGTCACCTGCCGCAATCAGCCAGACCGCTGTTACCTCACCTTCGCCGCCACAACAACCCCACACACCGACTTGTACGTGGGAACTGTGGAAACATCTCTTGACCATGAACTAACGTGCCGTACAGCGAATGCTATACCTGCATCAAAGCATTTCGATGACATCTTCCACGCCAAGTTCATGCACATCATCCAAGAATGGAAGAATGATCCATCTCGCGGCCAGCTAACTCAGAAGGATCGAAAGACCTTTATTGAGAATGCCTTCTTTGAGACCGATGAACTGTATTTCGGCCGGCGTATGATGACTGATCTTGAGATCAAGCTTCGCGCCCTTACCAAGGTCTTCTACAAAGTCCTCGCAGAAGAACCCTGGTCTGAGGATTGGATACGCGCTCCTGATGTTGAGCGTAAACTTTCCAAGTTTGAGATGCACGAAGATTCCGTAGCTCTCGCCAAAGAGTATGGCTTTACCACACCTCGTGAGGCTGTCAAGGCGGCTCGCGAGGCTGGTATCAAGAACGCCGAGACTTACAAAGAGGCTCAAAAGGAAGGCAAGACACTCAAGGACATCAAACTCGATCGGGGCCCGTTCGACGATATCGAGATCGTCTACATCGCCGGCACGGTCTCGTCATCTGCTACAAGCAAGATCGACCGTAGTAGCATCTATCCAGTTTCCGTGTCTTCAGTCGCCAATGTCCTTCAGAACCATATCTGTAGGGACATGGTTAGGCCGTTCTCAATGGCTGAGCGCTTCGTCAACTGCACCGACACCAAGGAACTAGAAGACATGCGCCGCTTCGCATGTAATGTCTGCGATTTCTGTCCTCATCTTCTCGACAACGACAACGTCAGCCTTCTCGTTGTTCTGCTTATCCTATCGCGTTCTGACTGCTGTCGCCGCTTTGAGGCCAATGGCATTCGCATTGAAGGTTCCACGATTAGTCACCGTAAGGCTGAGTGCATGAAGAACAAGATGGGCTGGAAGACATCCGAGGACAAGAAGCCCTACGACAACTTCGCCCAAGAGTTCCAGACCCGTGTCAAGAATGCTTGCTTCCCAGCTCCCCGAGCTCAGCGCATCGGTGGTCGAAAGCCGCCGCGCAACTCTTCTGGCCCAGCGACTCCTCCAATCTACGCCCAGCCTCATATGGGTTACGTCGCGCCTCCACAGGTCCGCACCGACCACGTAAATACCGGCATCAACGTTCCTGCTCCGCCTGCACAAAACAATTTCGCGCAGCCTGCTGCCCCAGCGATCAAGGACCAGCGTGGTCGCGAATCAGCGGGTGCCGGTAGCAGCGCCGCCGAACCCATGGATCTTTCCTGAACTGTTTAGCGTGTCGCCGACGGGCTTGGCAAGCTCATTTTCCAGAATTATTACTGCATGGCTAAGGCGTTCTTTAGGTACCTTGGGGTCTGCATATGGGGTTCAAAAACGGCGTTCCATGCATCATGTCCGATTTACCTACGTGGTTGCCATATTCTGCATGCTTCAGTGTACTCATAGTCACTTTCCTGTAAATAGTCATACTGCCAGTATATAGTCATCTAATACATACATACGTACCTGAATGCAGAATTCAGGCCACACAGCCGAAGCATCTTCCAGTAGATGTTCGTGTTTTGAAACAAGGCAGACTGTGGAGTTTGCAAAGAATGTTAATGTGTCATCATATTGTTGTTTTGATCCGACAACAAGTTGAAGCTATAAGACATCAGCGCAGCATCTTGCCAGCATGAAGTGTTGCTTCATCGCAGCTGACTCCACTCGTGGAATCAGCTAGACTGCCAAGCCAAGTGTGTATCAAACTGACTGCGATGCGGCTCGGACGTCTTTCCGCTCAACAACTCACTCACTCAAGAGATAATCACAATGGAGCTCAACAACTTCGAATTCCTAGCCTTCTTCCTTTGCTCAAGCATCTTCGGTCTGCTCTCCGCAGTCTGGTCTACAGTACGTCAATTTGAAGCACTACACTAGGGTCTCACACTAACAGCCCCAGACTGAACTCATCAGCGATCGCGAGATCATCCTCTTGATTGGAGTCTTTGTCGCAGTCGCGATTGCGCTTCTCGCGCGTCTATCTACTAGCAAGGCGCTCACCAAATTCCTCACGATCGACGTTGGCGGGGTACACGAGAAACAGCTTCGCGATCTCAGTGAAGCCCATCGCCGTCATGTCGCGAGCGTAAAGCACGAGAGCAATCGCGAGAACCTTCGCCTTCGAAACGACATCAACTACGCCGCTATGAAGTTCGACCGTCTATACAACGAGCACGACTACATGTCCAGCATGTACCAGCAGCAGATGCACCACACTCAAGAACAAGACGACCGTATCGAGTACCTCGAGAAGAAGCTTCAAGAGTTTGGACAATCTACGCCTGTTACTCGCGCTCCCTTCTCCGCGCCGCACTCGCAGATCAGCTTCTCGCTTCCGCCACGTCGCCAGCGATCTGATGAGGCCTTCAACTACGTTCCTCTCAAGGGCTCGCTGTCTCAGGTTGTTGAGAGCAAGGATGAATAAAATTTGACCCATGTTCGTCGCTCGTGCGGATTAGCACGGCCGGGTTACCGGATACATAGTTAGATTATTGGGAACGCGGTGGCGAGACGAGTGCAGAGTAACCATAGAATTGGATATCCGTACTAGACTAGATCTCATAGGATACAAATGAAATGGGGTTATTTCAAAGTACAGCTCACTTTCATGTGAAGCGCGATGTTTTCGACGTGGCAATGTTGTGCCCACCACACAAATGACCAGGCCGGGTGTCTCATCTGCGCCATGGAAACACTAGTGTTTGTACAAACCATTCGCGACGCTCGTCCACGTTCAGAACTTATAAGCATGTAATATTTCTTACGACAGCAACTTCTTTAACACAACTAATTCAGTCATGACGGAAGAAGAGAGACGTACGCTCATGAGCGCAGATATTCCCACGATCCAAAAGATACACACTGCCATCGCCGCTATCCAACCAAGCACGGAAATGACGCTCTTTCAACAGCGTAGGCTTCTCTATCTCTGTTTGCGTCTGAAAAGCGAGATAGACATACCTATCGGATGGTGGTTGATTGAAGACGTAGAAAGCCCAATTTCTGATTCCCAAGTCTGGCGCGACGTTGATACCGAGCTTGGTATACCAGAGTCAGAAGATTATTCCTACTCGGTAGCGTATCAGAGCGCAGGGGTAGAACAGGATGAAAATTCTCCACCTCGTAGTAGCAGCAGAAGTCTATCGAGAGGGAGAAGAAGGACGAGATGAGGCTGTCTAGTGATGTTGCGAAACTACAGAAAAAATGAAAGTAAGCGGTGGCGCGAGATCCATGGGTTGAGTGTGGTTAATGGCTTGAGTATGAATTACGAGTGCCATATGATCATCGAATGAACGGTCAATGAAGAGCCCTGTCGTCGGCAATCTAGTCACTTACACGCGTTCCATTTTATTGAAGCCATGTCTTATTCCCAAAGCCATGTCCGATCCACCTATCCAAAGAAGGAGACAGGGATTTGAGCTTGAAGACTGACACATGAGTTGCGGTGATCAATCACATAAGCTTGTCATCTATGATAGACTTTGGTATACTGATTGTTTTACGTGCCACATCGTGAAGGAACTTGCCCGCAGCAAACAAGTTCAGTATATCAGCGCAAGATGAGAAGCATCAGAGCACCATCAAGATCATTCAGCTCGTCACACCGCTCCATAACATGGCATCAGAGAACCTCAGCTACCCCTCAGAGAAGGCCGCCGTCATCAACAAGCTTTCTCAAGCCATCAAAGCGCTCGACACCAGCGTTCCCGCCTCTTTCCAACAGCATCGCCGCTACTTATACCTGCTTGAGCGCCTCAGAAACGAGATAACCGACCAAGTCAATGAGTGGAAAGGACAAAACCCTGATGCTCCACCCTACAAGACTTTCAGACTCGGGGTTGACGCCGAGTTGGACATACCAGTCGATCCTTACCAGGAGACACCACCTCCGAAGGCGGAACTCTGGACACCGAACCAATCTTGCCCAGAATGTGGGAAGCCTAGATAGTGCAGGGACAATACGTAGGTGGCAGTCAAGTCTTCTGAACACGTAGCTACAGGCAGCACTTGCTAAGAATGATGAGTGTTTCGTAGAGATGTTTTCGTGATATGCCATAAACTTGTCATTTCCAATAAATACGATACATGCGCAGGGAAACAAGGGTATATGTCTAATCAGGGTACAGGACGGGTGGCGTATATGACAGTGCTGGTGGAAGGGTATCATAACAAGAACAGACGCATACTGAACTCCAACAGCAGGAAGCAAAAGCAATAAACAGTTGCAGACGCATGACCCGAGAAATACAAAGTGACATGAAGCTCAGTGCTTCCTCTTTGATCCTTTACGACTCAAACCGGTGCGCGATGCGTATACAGGCGGGTGATCATCCGGGCTTTCAGAGTCTGTTGCAAAGGCATCGACATAGCGAGATTGCATGGATGGACGACGACCATCGCCTAGAGGTCGGGCAGATGGAAGTGAACCCTCGACGGTGCGCAGATCCCATGGGTCTTGCGATGCTGACTGCGGCGACATCATTGTGGCTGCTGCGAACGGGTTGTCTTGACTGATGGATGGACGCCTAGCAGATGGCGGCCGGGCGTAATCTTGGTTGAAGTTCGCCGGGAAAGATAACGGCGGAGGCGCGCGTTTCCTCGAGCTGGAAGGCCTGTAAGACTCTGTGGGCACCTGAGTATCGAGTACTGGAGGGCTTGGCTGCGAGACACTTGGGCGGCGCTTGCTGGGAGTGCGAGTCAATCCAGCGGGACGCGTGTTAGAGGTAAGACTGTCGTGGCGAGCCATCGAGTCGCGGCGTGTGGAGAGGGAACGATCGCCGCCACGCGGGTCCCAGTATGCAGCCGGCTTCTCTTGTTGGCTTTTGCGGGCTGCCAGCTCCTCCTCTCGCTCCCTGGCCTCTGCGATCTGCCTTTCGCTCCGCATCTGTTGTTCCTCGGCTTTGATCAAGCGCCGTTGATCTGCTAGCTCAGCTGACGTCATAGAGGAGGATTGTCTGCGTGATGCGTTCGGCCGCTTCTTCGTATAGTCGATCGTTGGAGGACTTGATTTCTCCTTCTTACGATCTTGGGCCTTCTTGGCTTCTGAGTCCTTCCTCTCTTGTCTGAGGCGTTCTTCCTCCTTGACACGACGAAGTTCTTCCCTGGCCAACGCTCGATCTTTCTCCTTCTCAGCGAAGAGCTTTTCTGCCCTCTCATTCGCGCGGCCGTCTGCACGGGCGGGTTCGAAATGTACGCGTCTGGCAGTATCTTCTCTGTCACGCTCATCAGCCACCCGTCGGTCAGACTCTTCTTGATGCCGACCCGACTTGGACTGCCTTTGTCGCTCATCGCCAGTTTTGGTGCGACGAGCGCCTTCAGGTGCGCCCGAGCTAGTGTAAGACGAACTCGAGTGATCAGCAAAGGCGTCGTAGTCGAGTGGATGTGGGCGGTCTGATGTGTACGTCTCTCGTGGAGCAACCCTGGCCGTCCGGTATGAATCAGATGACATACCACCCTGACGCTGAGGTGGCGAGGACGGAACAGCAGTAGGTGGGTTGTGAATCACTGTGGAAGAGCGTTTTGTACTTCGCTGCCTAGCCGGTGGGTCGTACTCTGCGTCCGACGCGACGTAAAGCGAGGGCGTCTGACTGGAAGACGCTGACGGAACATGGCGAGAGCTTTGACTGTATGGTGCAGTAGGAGTTGTAAGGTAGCTGCTGTGATGATCGAAGGCTGCTGGTGGAGGCAAAGGGGCTTCCGGGAAGCCAGTTCGGTAAGTGTAGGAGGCATCAGAGCCCACTGAGTTCACAGCGATATCATGAGATCCAACAGAGCCGAGTGAAGACCGATCGTAGGGTTTTGAGGAGAGCGAGATCAACGGGTATTTCTTGCCTTTGTCTTTCTTCGTGCCAAACTCTATGAAAATCTCGTTGCTGATAGGTCGTTGGCCATCCCGAGTAGAGGGACGGCTACCACTGCCAGACGGACGACGTGTTTGGACCAAGTATGTTGAAGTGGTGGGAGTTGGTGGATTCGTCGGAGACGGTGTGCCCATAGAGCCACTTCTAGGTATGTATCGAATGGGTACGTGGATAGCGTCTCGGCATGGTCTGTCCCCACGTGCCTTCGCACACAGGCAGGCTCGGGTAGATGTCAGGGGTCGCCCATCAGGGGTGAACTCCTCGCGCTCCTCGATCCGACACATGGTGGCGATGTGCGATGGGTTTAGTCGGAGTTGATAGATCTTCTAGAGGCGAAGAAGATAATTGAACTCCTTGCCTCAAGCGTTTGTCTTGGGCTGGATGTTCTCAGTGAAGTATGATGTCAAACCAGCTTATCCGGGGTAATGAGCCCGTCGGGGGAAAGGCAGATATGGAAGTACCGGACGGTAAGGATGTCTTGATGACGTGTGTATCCAGATCACACAAAGTGTAAATTGAGCAGGATACCGGTCGATTTGTGTTGTTTCGATGTTTTGGCGATACTGGGGAGACTGAGGGTATTTGAGGAACAGGTGACGGCCCGACTAAGACAAGCGGCAAGTAGGATGAGTGTACTCGTAGATTCAAGGACACATGGGCCGAAAAGCGAAAGAGTCAGAGCGGCGAAGGGGTAATAATAGAGAGGATCATGTGCAGGGAGCTATGCAGCTTCGAGGAAAGTAAAGTGCAGCCCTACTGGGCGAGGGTTCCTTTTAAGTGCAAGGCGGCGCAGGTTGTAGCCTGGAAAAGTGCACAATGAGTGGACAAGGAGCAGATTTACCACAGATGACCGAAACGGGCGGGCAGAAAAAAAGTGCCAGTGCCAGGCGGCCGCAGCGGCAGGCAGGACGGAATGCATGAACATGATCCGGGCGTCTTTGGGGCCATTCCTTAGGGCTGCGCAGCGGTGAATTGCACAGCCTGCGAGCGACCGAAGACACCGCCCAGCCGCGAGTGGGCCGTGGTTCTGACCGGTGCCCTGTGCCTGAGGGTGATGAAGAGGGAGACTGACCCGGTGCAATTGGGGAATTGGAAAAATTGTCGCAACTGGTAGCCGGTTTGCGCATCCGCGCGGCCGCACAACCTGTCTCAGACTCGATGGGCAGCAATAAACTGCCGGTGCTCGAGCGCACCCCGTCCTCCCCGTCACCGTCCCCCAAGCTCGGTTTTAGTGACTTCGCCTGATGACATCCTCCTTTGATGAAGACATAGAGGCCGTGCTAGTGCTGTTAGTGATGAAAGAAATCCGGATCGCCAGCTCTGAGCTGAAAGACTGGCGAATGATGATAGGGGCTATGCAGTCATTCCCGTGTCGTGAGGCAGGCGGGCCTCCATGCCAGGCACCAGAAGCCGGGCATTTTGCTGATCGGCGCCCAATGCCCGACCATATTGCTTTGCCTCGAGTAGTGATATGGATAGAGGGAAGGGTGCTTGGCCGCTCAACTGGCTGTGGGGCATCACGTTGCGGCGGGCGCTAAAGGGAGACGGGATGCACCCACGCTGCACGCGAGCAGCGGACGCATCGTTCGCATACAGGCCTCATGCGTCGCGTTCTCAAACTTCGACACCGCGATTATATTGCGCGTCGCTAGTTTTCTTGCATTTCTTGCAGAATCGCGCAAGAGGTGCTCACGAACGGCCGTGATGCGCACCATTGATGAGGGTGGGGAGGCGAATTGCTGAGCATGTGAGCTCATGGCCACCTTGCTGCCTTGATCCAGCCGAAGTCGGGAAAGAGCACTCGACAGTGTGCGTCGCACCTGCCCGCGGGAGGTGAGTCTTCGACAGCGCCTTCTTCCAACCCTCAATTAGCGCCAACTCGTAGGTAGCACCGAGAGGCTGCAATTGACCGACCGCGACAACAGATTGACCTCCTTACAAATTTCCACCGCCGTCAGCGTGAATGCGACAGTCCCACAAACATCTTTGTTTGCCGGATGTGGCGGTCATCCGATGCATGCTGCTTGCGAGCCGTTTGGTGGCACCCCCCTGGCCCCTGGCCTTTCCATCGCTTCACAGCCTCAGCCACCAGCCGTAAGAGTTGCGCTTTCCGTCACCTTTCTGATACTTTGGGGGTTGAATCCTTCGACTGGCGAATAACTACCAAGTGGCTAGGAAGCGAGCCGCTTCCTCAATCTGCGACACCGCTATTTGCGTCAACGGATCTCAAAAGGGAACTGGCCTGATGAAGGTGCGCATGGCCACACTTCGAGCAGCCACACTTCGGCGTTGGTCTCGCGTGCTCTTTCATCCGCGGACGAAGAGATGGATGACGGAGTAAGATTGGGTTGTAATTGGTAGGATTGAGCGTGTACTATGCACATGCCAGTCTTCACAAGGCGTTACCATGAGCTTGGAAAACTCGGTACTGTTCGGATATCGCACCTGTCACGTTGCTTGCCAAATGCTCTTCCGGCTAACAGGTCCCACTGTCACGAGGATTTCATTCCACCGTCTTTTCACGACCGACATACCGGCTAATCTCCATGGTGCACTCAACGCCCACCGATATTACTGCATCAGCCACGACGCCTCAACAGACTAGGCCGACAATGGCCTCAGGCGTGCTGTGCCACACCATATCGCCAATCCGCTATCAGTGTCAGATAGCTGCTCAGCCTCCATGAAGGCTTCGACACGCGAAAATTTACCTTCTTCAAACTTTGTCAACGCTATCGGTGGCTGGAGAACGGCTGCGAACTTGAGAGCTACGGTAGCTCACCGCCTGCTTGTACATTGCGTACATATACGTAAAATTTAGTTAGTCCGGCTAATGTTATCGCTGCAGGGCTGAAGACTACACCCTACTGAGAAGCGACCTCGCACTCGAGAATGATGGCACTGTTGCTGAAACGTATCGCTTGGCAGCGCTACACTTACCAAGATGTGGGAAGCGAAGGGTACGGGGCGGAAGCGTCTCACTGTCTCTTTACTGTTCGGATGCTTATTAAGGTAGTCAAGTTCGGACAAACAGCCCATTGCAGTATCGACTCCATGTTGCTGATGTCTCATAAGCAAGTCTATCCGACACTTCCATCGAAATTAAGCCACGTTTCTGCTCACGTCTCACAGGAACCATCTACGCGCCGTTCCGGGTTGCCTGGTCTACCTGTAAGCAGAACGTATGCCACTACCAGGTTTCGGCCCCATCGCCACTGAGAACCAACCACAGCCTTGCCTAGGAGCAAAAAGCTTTGTTACATGGGTACAATAGCAGCTGAATGACTTGCTTAGGCCAAAAGTTAGGTATGAATAGATCAGGTTCCATCGCTGGAACCGAGCTTGGAGAAAACATCTGTTGAACGGTGTGTGTTACAGTAAGTTGCCAAGCATGGCGAGACTTCACCGAACTAGAGGCCGAAATCATGGACGGTAGGATCAGACTCGAGTGGAATGACTTGCGAACGGCATGGATACGATCACATGCCACTCACAACGTAAGGTCCACATCGAAGCAAACCGAACAGGCGCCAGCCTACCACCTGTCTCACATTGAAACAAAGACTTGGGATTTTCTCGCTATCATGCCCACTCTAGGAGCTACAACAGGCGGCACGGCAGCACAACTCTACATCCTCGGCACCTCCGACCCCCTTCGATATCATGTTCTGCCAAGCCGAAGTCGGAGCCTGCTAGATGTCTCAGAATGTAGGCAACATTTCTCGCCACTAGCGTGGACCCATGATCTTTCAATGGAGGTACTCACACTGGGCTATTGCCTGCCCCGTCGCGTTGGTATCCGGAAGCTTCTTCGCTCTAGTTGCACTTGTCCATGTCGTGTTGCGTGAGACTGGAGTCGGGTTGGGTCCCGTACAAGACTTGGCTTCTCGATGCCTAGTAAGGCTCAAATAGACACGTTTTCTTGAGTACAGCTGGCGAGACTTGTGACTGAAAAGCCAACGAAGAGAGGTGTGTAGATATGTCATGTTCATTCCATACAATACAATGTGTGCAGTATAATACAAAACTGTCGTACCATCTAGTCCCCTCGCAACGCCTCAGCCATCCCAGGGAAACCCTTCGGCGGCTGCGCATGTCCCTGAGGCTTCGTGCTCTCCAGGAATTCGCTGAACTGCTGGCCCTGCTCACTCTGCTCATCCAACTCCTTGATCCCACTCTTCTTTGCACCACCGACCAAATTCCTGAAGGAAACCTTTTCAGCGTACGGTCTTGCTGGCGGCTTCTCATCGAATTCGCCTCGGCCGACAGCAACCTCCTGGCCAACGGATCGCTTCAGTTTGATCTGGATGCGCCCGTCGTTGGTGACGCTACCAAACTGGGGTTGCACCATGATCTTCCTGCCACCGGGTGTGTCCACATCAATTGTCTCGACGTCCTTGGCAGCCGCATAGTTCCTGGGAACAGTGTATGAAGTTGTGCCGCTGTGGTCATCGTTTGCTACGAAGCCGCCTACTCCTAGACGGGCGTAGAGCTCGTTCTTTGTGCCTGTGCGTCTGGCTTGCATGACACGAGCAGGTATCGGGGCAGGGTTCTCTTGGGGACCAAGGATGGGGTGATTGGCGAGGTATGACTTGTGACGAAGATAGCCGAGTCCGGCTGAAGGGTGGGTGGAGAGAGGCGCGGTTTCTTGGTCGAATTGGTACTGATCGACTTCGTTCTTGGCAGCGTCTGGATTGTATGCCGTGTGCTTGAATCTGATGGCCGGGAGCTTCAAGAAGGGAAGTATCAACTTGCTGACGAGCTTGCTGCTTAGGGGGTCCTTTGCAGTCTCTTGCCTTAGCGCCTTGATACCAGCATCAATTTCAGGTTTTGTGATGTGACGCCAGGCCTTTTCTCGTTGCTCTTGCCAGACTTCAGCTTCTTGGGCGTCTATTGGTGCCAATTCGCCGGATCTGGAAGCGGCAAGTCGGCGAGTGTCGTATATCTTGTTCTTGACATACTCGACTAGGTAGTCATTGAACTCCTTCTTGCGGCCTGCAAGCTTTTTGGTAAGAAAAGAGATGAAGTCCTCGGCGCCCATACCAGGAAGCCAAGGTCCCTCGTGCTTCCATCGCCTGGTATTATGAACGACGGGATCCACGGGTGGCGGGGTAAAGGGTGTAAACTGCAATGATCCTGGAGTCTGCGGGGCTTCTAGTCGCTGCTTCAGAGCCTTCTTTGCATTCCTCTGCTCTTTTTGAAGGGCTACAAATTCCTCTAACCAAGGCTCATTGTTTGATGATTTTCTGCTCGCTTCTTTTTGGAAAGACTTGAGGTCGGAAAGGTGAAGGCCCCATCCACGAGCCCTGAAACTCGCGAGCTTTTCTTCCCACCTCTTTCTCCAGGTGGCGTTGAAGTCGTCCCATTGAGCCTTGACTCGCTCCGAAGGCATACTCTTCTTGAGAGCCTTGAGGTAAAGTCCAGCCTCATCCAGTCCGAGATCCGTGTCGTAACTCGTAGTATCATCCCGAACCTCAAACGCACCCGGTAGTAAGTCGTCGCTCACGCCGCGATTCCTCATCAACGACAGGCCCTTGATCATTGGCACACCCATTTCTTCCCACTTTTGTCTTGTCCGCACATGATCTGCTGCCGATTCGAAGTCCGTAACATGCTCGATAGTATCCAGCTGAGTAACCCTCAGTACTGGGTCGCTCACTTGTACCAGGTGACTCCTTGACGGAATCGGCCGCTTCAGACCCCAATCGCCACGTGCTAATGAGGACTTTGTCGTTGCAATCGCTTGGTGGGTCGGGTATGGCAGGGTCGCTGTGTCAGAGGACTTGGAGATGCCCGCGCCGTAGGTGTCGCTCACGGGCGGTCGAGCAAGTGGGTTGGGCAGCGAGAAGAGGCGAGAATTCCGGAGGAGGTTGGAAGTAGGCGAGAGGGACTGGCGACTTAGAGCCATGTTGGCGATGCGACAGCCGCGTGTGGGCGTTCAATGGCGGCTGAAGTGATGATCCCGATGTGCATATCGAAATGTCGAGTGGAGTTTGCGGCGGAGTGGCCCGTGCGAGACCTCCGCGGCTTCTGATGGGTTGCAGGCTGGGTCACATCACCACGTCGAGATGCACGAGACGGCCTTAAATGCACTTTCATGATGATGGACTATTACGATGATAGATATCTACAGGAGCTATTCAAGATTTCATTCCCTCCATGCATACGTGATTCGTCCTCCGCCTCAGCGCACATGTCGCGAGCATTTCCGACATGCATACTCTTCTGGCGCATGCAATGTGCTGTCCGCCATCTTTCAGGTCAGGACTCACCTCTTCAACCAAAGGTTTTATCCGTATGGTCTTTGAAACGCATACCGCGCGCCGAGTGTTCTATACATATCATTGCAATCTTCTACGTATGCATGCCGGTGTATGAATGTCGTAATGCAATGACTGGTGTCATCCCCACTCATCCAGGCAAGTGTTTGTCCCAGTCCTGATCATCGTCTTCGTCGTCGTCCTTGTCTTTCCTGTTTATACGTGGAACGTGCCCTTCAATAGCCATGGTGTGGTCAGACGTTTGCGCAGGAAGCGACGGTGGCTGAGGCGGCGCGTTGCTGGAAGAGCGCTCGAGAATCTGGTCCTGCACGAGGTCGTTGTTTGCCTTGGTAAGGTGGCCCGGCTTCTCGCCTCGTTCGAGCGCGAGATCAGTCATGGCGTCTGCGCGGGCGGCCCAGGCTGCGTCTAGGTCTGCTTCGTCATCTGCGTCAGCCGTGGTCGCACTCTCCTGTTTGAGACGTAGCGGTAGGGCCTTTTCATGTTCGTCGGCATTGTCGACCATGAGCTCGATCTTGTCGCCGTACCCGCCGTGTCGCATCCACGCCGGCTCCTCGTTCAGCTGCACCTTGACGTAGAGTGCGCGTCTTGCGCAGTCGTCTGAGCACCACACCTCGAGCACCTTCCTGTCTACTATTTCAACACCGTGATCAGTGTCAACAAACTGCTTCCTCGCGGTGGATCGCGCCTTCTTCTTGGGGCGCGGGCACAGAGCGTATCCGCACTTGTCGGCAATGTTGCGCTCCTCGATGAGGGCGTCGTAGTCGGCGGGCTGGAAGGGAATTACTGCTTTCTGGAAGAAGTGAGCGTCCGAGGGCGAAGGTCGCTTAGCATCGGCGTCTGGCGAGGTGGGAAAGTCCATGAGGGTCATGACGGCCTCCAGCACCTCTGCCTCGACGCGCTTGCGGTCTTCAAGTACCGTCGCATGGTGGCGGGCAACTGCGAGGTGGCGCGCATTCACGGGCTTCCTGCCCGGGGGCGCGTTGGTAGAGACGGTCGCGTTCTTCAGGATGGACTTGGGCGGCATGGCGGGCCTGTGTTGGTGTTGGGATCGTCGTGGCTAGAGTGTGAAGTGGAACCTCGTTGGGCGTGCTTGGCGGAGCGTCGGGGACTTGGGCGGGGCTGTTTGAGCTTCGTCACCACACTTGTTCGCACGAGGCACCTGCAGCAGCCCTCATATCTCCCACTGCCCCTCGCCCAGAGCTGTATGGGTGCAAGCATTGAATGGTAGGCTGCCCCGTTGACCCGCGCGTCCCGCATTGCTGCCCAGGCTGACATGGGCGTCATCGCAGCTACACGTCCGAGACCCGCCGTGCACCTAGAGAGCTCCCACACATTCTTGCTGTAGCGCTGTCAGGCAGGGACCGCAGCTGTCACCCCCATTGCGTCTTCCGCCGCCGCACCACCTCTGCAGCCATCGACACTGCCCGCCGCCATGTACAAAGTCAGGGCCGTCTTCGACTATGTGTCTAACCACGAAGACGACTTGGGCTTCAAGGTCGGCCAGATCATCTCCGTCACCGAGGAGGAGGGCGACGACTGGTACGTGGGCGAATACACCGACGACAGCGGCACCAAGCACGATGGCCTCTTTCCCAGGAACTTCGTCGAGCGCTACGAGCCAGAGCCGCCACCACGACCCAACCGAGCTTCGCGCCACAAGCCATTAGAGCAGCCGCCTGTGCAGGAAGCCCCTCCCACGCCCCAAATACCGCAGCAGGAGCCAGAGCCAGTGCTGCCTCAAGAACCAGAGCCGCCAAACCCCCAGGCCCCTCCCATTGAGGTGCCCAGCGCTGCCAAAACAACGCCGCTGCCCATGTCACCCATGTCGCCTCGCTCTGCGTCGAGCGCAAAGGCTCCGGAAGCCCTGCCGCCGCAGTCGGAGTCGTCCAAGCCCGCTCCTCCAGCGAAGAAGGCTCCTCCGCCTGTCGCACCCAAGAACAATGCCTTCCGGGACCGCATTGCTGCTTTCAACAAGCCCACTGATCCTCCGCCCAAACCCTTCAAGCCCTCTGGCGGCGCCCCTAGTTTCATCAAGAAGCCCTTCGTGGCTCCCCCGCCGAGCCGCAATGCCTACATTCCTCCCACTCGAGAGGCTCCACCCGTCAAGACCTACCGTCGCGAAGAGGATCCTGAGATTGCAGAGCGTCAGGCGCAGACCCAGAACGATGCGGAGCGCGCGGGATTGGTCGCGCATGACAAGGCAAATGCAAACGAGGGCGAAGAAGAGCCACAGCCCAAGATTAGCCTGAAGGAACGCATCGCTCTGCTGCAGAAACAGCAGCAGGAGCAGGCAGAAAGGGCCGCGGCTATGCACAAGGAAAAGCCAAAGAGACCGCCTGTGGCCAAGAGGACTGAGTCTCAAGACGCTCCCGCTGAAGACAGCGAGGACACTGGCCTCGAGCGCGTGACAAGTGGAGCTTCTAAAGGTCGTGCATCCATGGACCAGAATCGCCCTCCGCGAACATCGCACGACATCCGCTCTCCAGACGCGCTCAACCGTGACCGCGAACTCCTCAGCGAGAACGACGCTGATCAGTCAGCAGCTGGAGATACTGAAGATGCTGGAGGAGAATCTACAAGTGTCGAAGAAGACCAGGAACGACCAAAGAGCAGGCACCCGCCGCCGCCACCTCCAAGAGCACCCACTGCCCCAACAGAAGAGCCCAACGTTGGCGATGAGCAAGACGTGCCTGAAGAAGAGGAGGAAGAAGAGGAAGACGAGGAGACTGCTGAGTTGAGACGGAAGGAGGAGCTACGCGAGCGCATGAGGAGATTGGGCGGTGGCATTCCCGGCATGCCCGGTATGCCTGGTATGTTCGGAGGTGGTATGCCCATGGGCGGTGGTCTTCCACCGAAGAAGAAGAAATCGACCACCGAGAAAAGGCCCGAAGAGACCGAGGAGTACAGCATGCCTCAGCAACGAGTTCCTATGTTTGGTATGCCTGGTATGATGCCCGTCCGAAGCCCAGAACCTGAAGATCGCACGCTTTCTGTCGAGAAGGAGGATGAAACTCCGCACCCCGTCACAGGCACTCACTCAGCGAACGAAGTGCCAGACGTAGAGGAGGTTGCATCTCAGCCGGCCCGGCCAACTACTGGCGATGGTCCTCCACCTGTTCCAACAGACCGTAAGTTTATCATTCCTCGCAAACCAATCCGCGCTTTCGTACGCCATGCCCAAGGCCGCCTGCAGTCGCCATCTTCCGAGACCTTGTCCAAGACATATGTCACTTATGACGGTCTGTCGGAATATGTGATGACTGTATGCGTGTCTAGTATGTGTGTGCACTTGGCTCTATCAATAATTCCTACGTCTATTCGCATGGTTCTAATATCCTCTAGGACGTCCTGCTCCCCCTCCTGTACCATCGGCCTGTAAGTCACATCGGCTATCAGTAGATGAAAAATACTGACAGTAACTAGCTCGACCGGTACCGCCACCTCCTCCCCAGGTTCTCTCTCCTGGGCCCGGATCTGAGTCTGGTGACGAGATGACCGACACTGCCCCTACTCCGTCTGCACCTTCCCAGCCATCCAATAGGCGGGCTTCGTATTTCGCTTCTGGCGAGCCAGCTCAGGATCTGGCAGAAAGACGCGTGCCTCCCATTCCGTCAGCGGGTCCTACATCGCCTACAATGAGCCGTCCGCCTCCGCCACCTCCACCAACACAGGCACCTCCATCGCGCCATGAAGATCTTCCGATTCGCAAACTGGACCGTAACGAGGGCGAGACTGACTACGAAGGTGACTATGACACCGACATGGCGCCCGAGGCAACTCACAAGGACGCCTTGAAGTCACATGCTCGCGATTCCAGCGTAGAGGACAATACCTTGACGGACGAGCCAACTTCAGCACGCTCGCCCACTATTCCTCAGGGAATGCCGCCTCTGCCTCCTACTGCACCTCGTGCAGTTCCGCCTCCACCACCTCAACAGGCGCCTAGTCGGCCATCAACAGATGCTCCCCGTGGTGCACCGCCTCTCCCACCGGTACCACCACCGACTCGCAGCGCCCCTATGGACGATGACGATGAAGAGTATGACCCGTTCAAGTACACTGGCCCACCCCTTCCGCAAGCCGCGGCGCCTCCAGCTCCTCGAGCAGTGCCACCGCCCCCACAAAGCCAGCCTCCTCCCCCGCAGAATCGCCCACCCCCACCCATGCCACCATCGATGCCTCCTGTACCACATCGCCAAGCGGGTGAATCAGATGAAGAGGATGATTTGTACTCTTCCCCGCCAGCTCGGAAGTCTCACGATAGGCCACCGCCTCCACCACCTCAGGCTCCTCCACACCAGCATGCACCTCCGCCTCTTCCACCTCTACAAGCTCCGCCTCCTCCAGCTCAAGAAAGAATGGTCCCGCCGCCACCGCAGGAACGCCCAGTTTCCATGTTCTCGCCAGTCGCAACGGAGGCACCGCCTCGGATGCTGAACACTCGGAAGTCGCTCGATGCAGTCCAAATGCTGACAACTCGATCTTCCATGGATCAGCCTCGCCCGGCAACGAATCAAGGGTTCATTGCAAACGATATCGATTTGGGGATGTCGTCGCATTGGTGGACCCAGCCCAAGCTACTTCCCCCATCACTCCAAGCCCGCAAAGACGTCCTAGTAGACATGAAGGAGTCGCAATCAGGCAACACTGTGGAGAAACTCATCAAAGTTCTTTACCTTGACTACTCACAAACAATCATTTCCGCACGCTTCGAGTCCACCAACGTTTCCGACGTGGATCTCGAACAGCGCAATGAGCCGCCGCCTCCCAGCCAGCGTCCTGATCAGCTGGAGAACGCGTACGAGCAGTTTGGTCGTTCGATAGCCAAGACCATTGAGTCGAAGCAGAACACCGTCGTAGGCAATGGCACGCCGCAGGGACTGATTGAGGAGCTGTTTAAGCCCTTTAATGACGCACTGCCCCCAATTTCAACTCGCTCCTACGGCGCGCTTGTGTACGCCAACCTAGCGAACGCGTCAACCCAAGTATATGATGAGATCCGCCCTGGTGACATCATCAGCTTCCGCAATGCAAAGTTCCAGGGTAAGACTGGGCCAATGCATGCTAAGTACGCGATGGATGTTGGGAAGCCGGATCACGTCGGCGTTGTTGTCGAGTGGGATGGCAGTAAGAAGAAGGTAAGGGCTTGGGAGCAGGGACGTGAGCACAAGAAGGTCAAGCCAGAGAGCTTCAAGATGGGAGATTTGAGATCAGGTGAAGTGAGAGTGTGGCGTGTAATGAGTAAGAGTTGGGTGGGTTGGAACTGATTGGTCGAGCTGCCCGTTTGTAGGTGAAGAGCGAGGAGAATTGTAATTAAACCTTTAGTCTTGCGCGTCTGTGTATCCTAGCTGGCACCCTCCAAAACTTTCCAACGTACTTACCATACCACACTCTGATACCTACAATACCCCAAGACACCTACAAAATGACCTTCACATTCGACCCCGAAGTCGACTATGCACCCGCGCCCTCGCCGCCGACGTCCGCAGCCCACATGGGGCCATCTTGGAACGCGGTGTGGCGCATCGCCATCACCAACGCCGACAAGGTGGCCGCCTTGGCCGAGGCTAAGGGCATGATCAAGGAGAAGCTCCGGTGGGAGAGAGCGGTTGCGGCGGAGAAGAGGGAGAGGATGAAGGAGGGGGTTTCGGCCTGGAAGCTCGCTCGCGAGCTGGATGAGTGGAAGTATGTCTTAATTGATCACATATTGACGAGCTAAGCTGACATATCTTGACAGGGCGGTCCTCGGACAGTAGATCTGAGTGGGGTGGAGAGGAATTGGGGCCTTCGGGCAAAACATCTTGAGTTCCTGGTGGTGGTGCGGGTTGGGGGGATGGCGCCGCTGTGCGCCTTATAAATAGGCACGAATAGAACTCTTCTCCATCAATTATGTGAGAGCTTGCAATATGCTGTAATGATGAAATTGTATATGTGCTCAGTGTGGTGCTGCGTGTGCTGTTTTGATGGCTCTGGGTCCCTCTGTAGCTGCCACTCCCCTACATCATCTCACACACTCAATCGGCACGCAACCTCCTGGAGCAATTCAGTACGCTCGCATGTTTCCCCGGTCGACCGGATCATCACTGACTACCTCCAGGGTGCTCTGTCGTCAACGTCTCGAGACTGTGATGATCTAAGGTATCTTGCAAAGCTCTCCGCCCTTCACTAGCAAACAAAGGTGTCTTATACATTTTGCAGAACACAACCACCTCTGCAAAGTCCTCAACAACTCGAGCGAGCGACACCCAGGAAAGCGCCGCTCATACCCCGTCGTTCACTTCCTCACCCCGATCTTCGACGCCAGTCTCCGTGAGCTGAGGAATCCTACTTGGACGTTGGACACCGCTCACACCATCGCCCTTCAGCTAAGCAAGACCGTCGCGCTGTTCCCAAAGCACGCGCCATACCTGCTGAAAGACCCCAAACTACTCATGTTTGCGCGACTATTCCTCATGGGCGATGAGATCGCAGCGTCGTTGGACACAGTCGGTATTGAAGTGGGAGATAACTGGCACGAGCATACGCGGGATGAGTTCTTATGGATATACTGCGGTGATTGGGAGAAGCGGCCGATTGACTGCGTTGAGCGCACGTACATGGCGACTCGTGATGAGGTTCGTTGGTATGTGGACAATGACGTTGATGAGGATGGGAATGCTGTCGTGGCAGCGTCGGCGGATGGGAGTGATGGCGAAGCCAGTGATGGACAGGATGGCGAGGATGAACAGGCTGAGGACGACGAGGATGTAGAACTGGAGGACTGATAGGTATCGGTGTAGATTAATGCACATGTTGATTGGAGACGTTGAGCCTGAATAAGATGCAGAAGCAAATTCGTGTTTCAAGACAAAAGCTCGAGCGTTCCTATGGACGTTACTGCTGCATCTGAACTACCGGAACAGCGCCAGCCAAAAACGTGATCTTATGACATATGTTCGCAACTCCAGCACCCTAAGCACAGTGGAAACATCTGGGGCTTTCTGTCTATCTGCTAGATTGCTCATGACGTGACAACGAAGTTTGGCTACGCACAAAGAGTCTGGCAGATGTAGCAAACTGATCAAAGCATAAGACCAGCTTCAGTCATTCGGTTTCTTCACTTGCCACTTCAATATTCTCGCCCAGATACACAGTCTTTGTCAACGGTCAATCCCTTAATCCGACATATGAGCAACAACATGGACGGCAGCGAAGATAGACCTGACGAGATGTCCACGGGATCGAAGATACCTGCCAACACAAAAGTACTACCAAAGTCTAGCTTAAAAACACTCGTATATGGTAGGAACCCGTTAAGCAACGACGATGGCGACACTGAAATGGTCGAAGCGGTGGAAATGCCAGGAAGCATCGCAGGCGAACCGACAGCAGAGGCTCGTAAAAAGCAACGAAAGAGGAGAGCGGGGATTCCAAATCTGAGTGAAGATGATGACGAACATGAGGATTGGAATGACGATGGTAAGGTGGATCCGAGTAAGAGAAGGAGAAAGACCAAAGCTGCTAAACCCGCAACTTCCATCGCTACTGACGGAGAAGAGCAACAACACCCGCAGGCTCTCGAAGTTCCCCCTAAATTCGAGATAGCGTGGGCGGCGCTGGCCGACGAAGAGGAGAAGGACCCGAAGAGGCCCGACAAGACCATTATCATTGCGCGAAGGAAGAGATGGGAGAATGCTAACGTGGAGGTATTGATATGGAACGACTGCGAGCTTGAGTGGATGAGAAAGACCCATGCGGCGAAGCTGTACAAGAAGACTGTCGAGAGATTTGAGAAAGTCGAAGAGAATGATTGGATAGATGTGAACGTACCTGGCTGGTATCAAGTAAGGGTTCTCAAAAATGTCGTGCTGATAGACGGGCCGGAGAAATTCATCACACGATTCAGCAACGAGGACTACGACCGTGTGCATCAGATGCTCATATACATATTGAATGAGGTCCTTCAGCCCAGCTCGTGGCTGGTGGAACCAGAGGAAGGTAGCTATCAGTATGCGACGGACGAGGACGAAGCGAAAGCTATGGCATCCACCTCCAAAAGTGCTCAAGAGCTCGTCGAGATGATCTGGAAGCCTTACATCGATGACAGCAAGCCTGATGACAACGAGACCGATGAAAACCAGGTCGATGAGAACCAGCTCAACGAAGAGACTTATCAAAACTTGAGTGATGTAGATGTCATATGGACTTCTGCATCGAATAAGGTCGGAACGTCCAATGATGACAACGAAATAGCAACAACAACGGGACAAAGATCCAAGATCAAGTTGACGAACATCTGGACTGTCTTCATCGAAGACTTCCATGTTTGGCAGAGAAAGCGTACTACTGGACCAGTCTTGTTAGTCAAGATTGTGCCGCCAACCATAGCGAAACGAAAAGACCTCGGTCGTCGTATGATCACCCACAGTCCCCATGTCGCCAGGCCAGGCTCCTGGCCCTATCTTCTCGCCCTGGCCTTACTCGCAGACGACGAAGCGAAGCAAGCGGAAGAGGACATGGGGCTAATGGCGCACAGCGCTCGTTCTAGAGATGCTATCCATACCTGCATGGAAGAGTATCAGGAGCATAAGAAGCTGAGCTATGCCGAAGCAGTACACACCTTCTGGTTACTTCAGCAGTCCCTGCAGGACGAGCAGTTCGCTAGCGAGAGTAACGCAAAAAAGCCAGATGATGACGCTGCTCCGAGGCCTGGATCCGACCGCGGACAACATAGCAACTCTGAACACGACGACAGTACAGACACCTCTGGAGATGAAGACGACACTCCAGCCAACGAGAAGAGCGCCCGGCCATTGGAGGGTAGGAGACACGGTAAGCTGGCGAACGAACACGACGAGCATGTTGAAGCAGAAGATGCTGAAGCCGAGTCAGGGAATGACGAGATTGAAGGATATGGCACTGAAGCTGACCAAGATCGACCAGCCCCAACTCATGCCCCTCAGCATCAGGGTGCCTCAGAGGAGAGAGAAGCGCTTGCGAAGTCAGGCCCTGATTCAAGAAAACCTGGCATGTCAGCGGTGACTGATAACGAAGAGGGGGTAGTGGATGGAACATCTAGGCTAGCAAAACCGGGCAAGAGGGTATCTACTGCTGCGATCGGTGAGCAACCGCCAGCAAAGAAGTTGAAGACTAAGAAGACTGTGGCGTTGGCCGATGACGAGAACTAGGTAGACAGGGTCAGCCGTGTGCAAATGTCTATAGCTTCAGCTGCCACACTCCATAGCTGTCAATTCATCTCTTAAGTTTGATATAGCCACTTGTAACATGTAGCAAGCTTGCAACAATCCACGCTGGTGATGGTGACATGATTGCTGGTATAATAGGCGTTGGTATAAGAGGGCAGGTGTGCTATGCCTGTTATCAACGTCTCGTTACCTGCTTTGATCGCGCAATCATCATCCCAAACACAGCATGTCGAAAGATCGATCAAAGCCAACAACTGCTGCCGTGCAGAAGGACGAACCGCAGCCTCAGGCTGAGACATCCACGATAGCAACCATCGAGAGCACTGCTTACCCAACCTCAGACACGATCAAAATCCCGGACGATATGGCCGAGCTTTGGCTCCAGGAGGCACCCGACGATCTCCCAGGTCCAGTCATGAACGAGAAAATCATAGCTGTCAGGCGATTGGGCCTAAAGAGAAATTACCTTTACTTGCTAGAAGGGACGGAGAAGTGGTTCTGGCCTCAGCGTGTCGCCAAAGACGCGAAGGATACGTGGAAGAAGCAAAAGAATGTAGCATCCATGAAAGGCCAGAATCTGGATGTTCAGAACAGCCTGCATGCTTACGACTTGTTCCTGATTCGGGTCGATTCGGCAAAGGTGAATCCGCTGCACGCTGACCTCGGTGTCGTCGATCGGAACTGGACAGACATAAGAGAAGTTCCATACTTCACATCTCTTGCTAGCAAAGAACAGAACACCGAAGAAGAGAAGACTCCAGGCGCTGCTAAAGCTCAATCCTCTAAGACGAAAAAGAGCAAGAGCTCAGCATCTAGTGCGCCTCAAGAAGCGACATCGAACCCCTCCAGTGCCGTGCACATTAAGAGATTAGAAAAGCGGATACTTGAGGCTATTTTGGTGCGAGCAGCAAGACGATCGAGCTGGTTGTCAGCCAAGCATGAGAAGGCGTACAGCTTTTACGAGAAGAAGCACTATGACATGGCTCAAGGCCATGGCCTACAAACACCGTACATAGTACTTGACACAGTCGGTTTTGCCAGTACTTACCCGATGGAATACATCGGCATCCTGCTGCGCTTTGTGCAAGACATCGATCCACTCTCTCCTGTCTTAGAACCAAGGAACGAGCATGAGCCCTGGCATAGGGATTTCCGTCCATCGGAAGCACACGAACAACGACCTACGATAAACCCGACGAAAACGTTCAAAGTCCAGTGGGAACAACTGACGGACATGAGCGTTAAGAGTCTGCTCGACACCCATCAGCAAGACCGGGAAGGAATCGTTTCATTGATAGTGTCTGAAGCACCACACACGCTGCACAACGACAGTTGGGTGTTGCTTCTCGTACTCACTATCGGGACAGAAGAGTACATCGAGCGTTGTCTCAAATCAGCGGGTATCAAGGTTGAGAGCGGATGGTATGAACGTTCTTGCCAGAAGCTTCTTCATCAGCTTAAGGAATCGTCCAAAGCGGAATTGACACTCGTAGAGGATTCTGATGTGTACACAGCATGGAAAAGGCTGAAGCAAGAAATCCATCGGGGTGATGTGTATCCTGAGTGGCTCGAAGAAGACGCCGACCAGTGGTCCGATGGAAACATCTCTGGCACGGAGATAGAACCGGAATCGAAGACTCCAGGTTCTCGCTCTGCGGACGGCGATCTCGACACTGCATAACTCATCGGACACTCATGGAAGCGCACCTAGTCTGGACAAGAGAATCGAGGAGGACTGAGAGGGTAACGGAAGGAACCTTCTTGGCTGGAGGTATCAGAGGTGACGACAGCGTGACTGGGATGGACTCTCAAGATAAGGTCGAAAGTAAGGATAAATAATGCAGTGGTGACCAAGCTTCGTCTGAATGACATGCCTGCTTCCTACTCGTCGCGTACAAGCTCAGGACTTGAACGGGAAGTCCAGGGTTTGCGCGTTTATCCTTCTCACAAGCTCATTCGGCAGGCCGCGTACTGGCGTTATCTCTTCTCCTCGCCGTTCTAGATCGTCGGCAAGCGTGCCCTTCTAGCATTGTCTTTGCCTCTGGCACTCCACTTTGATGTGCCAGCGTTTGTGAAGCTAGACTGGTATGCGAAAGAACGAAGGACGACCGACACACTGAGTGTTCTGGGGGCGAGGAAGGCGCGTTCGGGATGTCGCAACAGTACGGTGGTATCGCGGTAAGCCTGCGTGGGGCTGATGGGCAGCCATGCAATCGCTCGGAGTATCATCCTCGGTGGACGCTATCATGAGTGCCTCGAGCCCCTGGCGTGGTAGTTGGAAAAGACCTGAAGGAATTTGAGTAGAAGAGGCTCAATGTGCAGAGAGTAAACGGCTGCTGAATGTGAGCACCTGGTATCAAACGCGAAACGTCATCTTCAAATTTTGGCGCGGACACCATGCTGCCAGAGCCCCTGATGTGCGAGGCGTCGTTCTGGCCTACGGGCTCGCGTCGAATTGATGCCGAGAACGCGAGCGCGATATGCGCTATGTGCGAGAAAACAAAGAAATAAGGGCGTGGCAACAGGTCGCGTTGTACAGAAGGGCTGACTGAGATGAGGTCGGATGAGAGTTGGTGGGTCGCCCGGAAAAGTAGCCGCATCCATGGCTCGCGCTTGTCGGCTTCAGGGAAAGTGCCCACATCATCCCCAACAAATCGATGACGCAGCATCTCCCCTTTCTCCTCGCCATCCTTCCTGCGCGTGAAGGCGCGTTCAAACAATTCAGCTGCGGAGCCTCACCATGGCGCGACATGACCAGACCGTCAGTAAAACGCCAAGTCGCCCTTCGCGTAGATGGCCCGGCGCTGAAGGTGGGTCAAGGGGCGGCTGCAGAGGGTCGTTGCTTCCTTATCGTTAAATCCGCCCAAACCCCGGAAATAATGACATATCCACAAGCCCGACATGTAGAATCCTACAAATACCCCATTCCCCATCGCCGTAGCCAAGCCTGTGTATCACCGACCTCAAAGCTTCTTCCAGTATGACGACAGACCACAGCATAGACCCTCGGTCTACACCACCATCAGCACAGCCTCGGACGTCCCCAGAGCAGACACTGGATGTAACAGAGGACAGTTCCAGAAAGAGCGAAGAAGACGTCTTGGATGGCCTGGAGAAAGGCTTAGACAACACTATGCCACCAGAACAAACAGATCGCTTTTTCGTGGAGTTCGATGGACCCAAAGATCCCGGCAACCCGAAGAACTGGACGCCCAAACGAAGATGGTGTATCACAGTTTCCATGGGCCTTATGGTTTTCACGGTCACATTTGCCAGTTCTATCTTCAGTGTCAACATCGGGATTGTCCAAGAGAAGTTTCAGGTCGAAAAGGTCACAGCCACTCTCGGAGTAGCGTTGTTCGTCCTGGTACGTTGAGCCCCCACTCGGCAGCCAGAGTTCCAATATCTAATATGAAAGGTTTAGGGGTTCGTATTTGGACCGATTGCTTTTGGGCCAATGTCAGAGGTTCTGGGTCGGAAGACTCCCCTCATGTTCGGCTTCGCACTTTTCGCTATCTTCCAGATTCCAGTCGCTCTAGCCCAGAATATCACGACGATATGTGTAGGCCGCTTCCTTGGTGGCCTCTTCGCCTCTGCACCCCTCGCAGTCGTGGGTGGAGCTCTTGCAGACTTGTGGGATCCTATCCCCAGGTCCTATGCTATCTGTGTTTTTGCCGCTGGTGGATTCGCTGGTCCAGTAGCAGGACCCATTGCTGGTGGCTTCATCGCCGAGTCGCATCTTGGCTGGCGCTGGACATCCTGGATCACTCTCATCATGGCCGGTCTCTTCGGCGTTATTGGCTTCCTCGTCATACCAGAGACTTCTGCATCTAGGATTCTGCAGTTGCGAGCTGCAAAGTTACGAAAGGACACGGGCAACAACGAATATCACGCTGCGGCTGACGAGAACAAGTTGACTCTCGACAAAGTGTTGAACGTTTACCTCTTACGGCCATTCATCATGTTCTTCCAGGAACCCATCTTGGCGCTGGTGACAGCTTACATGAGCTTCTTGTACGGCATTGTCTATCTGCTTTTCGAAGCCGTAAGTCTACATCCATGCCTTTCTTGCTACGAGGGTCTGACAATCGATAGTTTCCCGTGTCGTTCTATGAAGAACGTGGCTGGTCTCTAGGGGTCTCCCAGCTCCCGTTCGGCGCCTTTATAGTTGGCATTTTGATGGGCGCTGGCTGTATTGCTTACAGTTCAGCGACTGGATTTACGCGCGCATTTCATAAACACGGCAAGGTCATCCCGGAGGAACGCCTGCCGCCCATGATACTCGGAGCCATCGCACTTCCTGTCGGTCTATTCTGGTTTGCCTGGACTAGCAATCCAAATATCTCGTGGGTACCGCAGGTGCTCTCCGTCGCCCTTCTTGGGTTTGGTTGCATGGTGCCCTTCTGGCAGGGAATGAGCTACCTCATCGACTGCTATGGCTTCTATTCCAACAGCGCCATCGCGGTCAACACCTTCATCCGCTCGTTCGCGGGCGCTTTCTTTCCACTGTTTACACATGCAATGTACACCAAACTTGGTGTACCATGGGCGACCAGCCTTCTGGCGTTCATCTGTGTGGTATTCCTCCCTGTACCCATTCTGTTCTACATCTTCGGGGCGAGGATTAGAACGAAGAGCAAGTGGGCACCAACGGCGTAACGAGGTAGGGGCTGTGCCTTCTTGGCTTGTATAGTTCAGGTATTGTGGATATGCATATTCTTTCAGTGATTTCTCATCGTTTTCGAAGTTGAATGTCTATCTATTCCTTTCGGTCCTCATCTCAGTCCTTGCTTTGATCAGACATCGAATGCCTTTACGAGAAGGTCTGCAAACTTTGCTCGGGCCAGCTCTTCGACGTACTCGATACGCTTATCCTTCTCTCGTCTCCTTAACTCCATCCAGTCCAGCTCTTGGAACAACTCCCTCAGCCTCCAGAAGATAGTAGCCCAGTAACCATCTGCTACATCCACAGAGTACTCACATACCTCCTGCTTCGCTTCGCTCGAAACGAAATGCCAGCTATTGTCCCCCTTGGTGGTGTCTAGGCGTTTGGCGCACCACTGTGTCCATGTCTGGAGCCAAGTCGACTGCGCCCAACGAAATTGCCCCAGGGTACCGTCCATGACCACCCTCTGGCCGTCTTCTGTCGTAACTCGCAGGACCGAGTGCATTAGCACCGCGACGGGCCTATGTCTCAGACTGCGCCAAGACGTCATGAAGTTGACCCTCGGCCAACATCTCAGCCATTCTGCGCGCCCACGGAACAATTCCCCGACCTTCTTATCCACCTCCTCCTCGAGGACCATGCAGAACCAATCACACATGTTTTGCCGCGCGAGTGCTTCGTTGAGTCCCGGCGGCAGGAAGGAGAAGCGTTCAAGCTTTTTGGGCGGGTCGGTCTTCAGGTCTTCGGTCGACCAGACTTGCCACACTTTGAATGGCACGGAGTTGGCTCTGTACGCCCGTGCGTATGCGGCTGAGGCTCGTGGGGCGGCGTCAGCGGCGGCGTCGAAACAACGTAGGTAAACGTGCAGGACCTCTTCCAGGGACAGAGGTGGTGCGGTGGTGGAGGGATTGACCGGTGTCATGATGGAGATGTGAGCAGGAGGACGGCTTCTGCTCGAGTGTTTTGGTGTCCTGGAGGCAGTGAGGGTACGGAGGGGCAGCCACAATTTGTCCTTGGATTTTAGCGCTAAAGGTACGTCGGTGCATCCCTGTCAGTTCTGGAGCACCTTCACTGACGATTTACGATTACCAAGATACACGAGAAGTTTACTGTATTATGTACTGTAACCAAGTTGTCGGCGGATCGAGGACAATGTAAGGAAGGCTTGTCTAATCCAACTGCGCTTCCTCGAATGCCCCCTCAAACTTGGCCATGCTCAGGGAACGGATACGTTCCTCCACATCGTCGTCCGACAGCCCACGGAGAGATGCCCAGTTCAGCTCCTGGAATATCTGCTCCATACGCCTGCGCGCGACTACCCAGTATCCGACCGCCCAGTATCCGTGGCTGCAATCCTTTCCCTCAAGCCTCTCGCACTTGGCGACCTCCCCCTGTTCGTCCGTCGTCCAAATGTCCCTCGGGTCCGAGTACTTGGGATCCAGAAAGTTTGCAACAAGCTCCTCCCGTGCCATGAACCAATGTGTCTTCCAGTCTCGTCCATATTGATCGGCAGTGCCATCAAAGACATAGTTCCCATCGTTACCATCGGATATCAATAGACAAGAGTGGGATATCAATTCATCCATCTCTGCCCAATCTGTGAGTATGCGGAAATGCGGTTTGGCTATGAAATTGATCCAAGTAACCGTGTGGCTGATGCCGAGAAGCTCTGCTCGCTGTCAGTCGCTGTTCAAGCGCGCATACTGTCCAACGGGCCTTGTTCCTTACCACAGAGGTGCCGGGTTACGAAAGGCTTCATCATGATGCAAAATGTCTCGCAATAGTGCTTGAAGACCACTGCGCGATATTCACTGCCTGGGCTCAATCGTGTTGGATCCGGGCTCCCAAATTCCGATCGATCGTAGTCGAAGAGCGCTTCCGGAACGCCGGGTCGTGACGTTCGGTTTAGCCATGATATCCTGATTCCGAAGACATGGCAGCCAAATAGCGCCTCTTGGAATATGATAAGATGCACGAGAAGGATCTTGCGAAGAGAAAGGGCTGGAAGGGTAGCTGCGACGCGCACGCCGGCTTGAGGAGACTCAGTGGCCATGATTTTGGGGGGAAAGTATCGGATTGGTAGCAGAAGATGGAGAGGGTAGTTAGAGTTGCCTTCACATCTGCTCCCGGTGTGGGCGTCCGAGTGCCACAACTAGCGCGCAAACGGGGACGCGCATAGTCCCAGAGTAGCCTGTCTACTTACAACTTTGACCAGACTTTCGGACTGACCCGCCATCTTTTAAAAGTCCAGTCAAGTCCTTTCTCCACAAACAACATGGCGGCCATCGTCACCCAGAAGCAGGTCTTGGAGACAATACTGACTGACTGCGCCAACCACTACGGCGGAGACCCAATGGCGAAGCTCAAGTCAGTTCACCAGAAGCTCAAATCATCAATGAACTAGCTAACACACAGATCTAGGTCTCTTTCAGAGAACTACTACACGAAGACGAAGACATTGGCGGCGGATAAAGAATGGCCCACCGCTCTTGCAGCCATCGAGGAGGCATGTCGGATCAAGCCAAAGGGCCAGCATCCACTCTGTCGCGTTCGCATCAGAGCATCTCCCCACACTAAGAAGGGCAGCGGAACCCATGTCTCGAGCGTGGCCGCCTGCATGCACGACTATCCCTTCAACGAAGCCAACAAGGCTGACGCGAGCGCCGACGCGGACATGCTCTTGACTGGGCCCGCCACGGAGATCTCGTTCAGGTACTTCTACTTGCACCGCTGGATGCTCATCAACGCGCCACATCTGTTCGAAGACGACAGCCCCCTTCTCCTCCTTGCCCTGGTCTTCCAGAAGGCAGGCACTGTGGAGACGCTCCTGGCCGTTGCTGGCGCCAAGGTCACCGAGAAGGAAATGGACGATACGATAGCGCGCAGCATGGGACTGTACCAGCAGAGGTCTGGAATACTTGGATGGGCTCAGGCGTTCGAAGATCTTCGTGAGGCCATGAGGGGCAGGTGGCACTCCAACAGCGTGGCAGACTACAAGGGCTATGGCAAGCCTGGCTCATACATGCATGCCGCCCGCCAGAAGAAGACTCCGGTATGAAGGCCCAGGGAGGCTATGTTTGTACGCGAGTTGTCTGGATCTGGAAAACAACGAACTGACAAAACGCAGGCGCCTCATCCCTTTTGACTGAAGGTTCACCGCGCGGACAACATGACTGCTATACCTCTTACTCGGCCATCGTCTTCATCTATCTCTCATGGCTCGTCTTCGTCGTCGCTCAGTCTTTTGTTCTCTACTCACGCCTCGGCCTCGTGTGGAGAAACACGAAGAAAGATCGCTACATTCTCTACATGATCACTACTAACTCGGTCATCTTTGGCCGAGAGCCACGCCTACCTTCCGATCGCGACTTCCCATAACACCCTCATCGATGCGAAGGATATGGAACAATAGCCAGAGCGACACTTCGAAGGAAGCCAAGTAGGAAGGAGGCCGGCGTGTAGGGCAAGGGGCAGTTAGACCAGCGCAAGGAGATCAGCCTGCGCGCTGTCTCCGGTAGTAGAAGTAGCAGCATACAATCGCTCAGCAGATCAATCCAGCACAGTACATATCATGGTGTCTCCTCCAAGCTCGACATGATGATTGACGACGTGAATGTTACACAACATCACCAGCATCAAGCTGCGCGACAGGCTGGCAGACTGAGCATTTTTCTAGATGCTGTGAAACCACTGGGTCAGATCTGCCGGAAAATTGGCACGGATATAAATCATGTTTGTGATTTCAACATGCCGCAAGGACAGAGATTGCAGATGAAACCCGGCCTCATGGAGTGACGTGATGTGAACATCAAGGCTGGCGCATAAACTCGTGGAGCTGACTAGACCATATTACGGCACCTGGAGCATATACTGTAGACGCGGAGATCGCTCAGAGCATGCTTAAGCGCGGGAAAGGCTCATTGATGAAGTCAAGGCCATCGTCAGGTCAAAAAGCGCTGACAAGCTGGAAGCCATCCTCAGTGACGCGTGAAACACCAGTAGCCGGTGTCACGACCATCGCAGCCTCATCAAAACAAGTGACGGGGCTTAACAAGCGAGTGGGGGACTCAGAAGGGGCACGAGCTCAATGTTTGTGCCCACTCTGGCCAGTCCTTCACCCCCGCGAGACTGGCCACGAATTCTTCTGCCCCACCATACCCACAGATACCACTTGAGTATATAATACATCTAATGGATCTACATTTCACCATCCGGGGCAAGGATGTGTACTTTGTACCGTAGTTAGGCCCACCATCACTAGGATGGTGCAGGTAGATAGTTGCTTCTTCCGTTTACCTCAAGGACCTCCGCTAACATATCCAGGTCTTCCACACGACAGTGTCCAGGCACTATAAAGGTATGAATACAGGTTTTTTTGCTGATTCGATTCACTGGAGTAGCAGACTGATTGAGACAAATTGTTCTTTTTGGTTCTGTCTTTTCCCTGACAAGGTGCGGCGGGGGTGCGGAGATTGGCTAGGTGACAGTGCGGAGAATGACGCGTTCCCCATCATAACGTTGGCTCGATCTGCTCGTATAACGCCCAAGAGAGCTTCTGCACGTTCTACTGTGGCTTGCAGGCAGTCTCATGGTGTTTGTCTAAGTCTTATACCAATGTCTTTGCTCGGTGACACCATCTCCCGAGGTTGCACTTCACTGCCTTTGCTGCGCATAACTCCGCGTCTGCTCAGTCAGAACGCTTACGAGATGCCCTCTATTCTATTCTTACAACGGTATCTGTGGCCTGCAGCATCTCCCCTACATTCATCTGTCCTGCTGCTGTAAAGCGCCGACAAAGAACTCCCAGCTGTTCGCTGTCGATAGTAATCGGCATTAACCAGATGTGTTCGCGACGAGCGCGTTATGTCTTTTCAGCGTCGACTTTTGCTTCATTCACATTCCTAGAATGCAGACTATCTGCTCCAGCATTGCTAGCATTGTGACGCGACGTAGCCCAGCGGACATCTTGCAACTCCTGCCCTGACCTGCCTTCCCTTTTGGGCTCACATAACGATTACCTTCGCAATGAGACTTGTTTGAGCAGGATGAGAGGATCGTATCAGTACTGCGAGCCGAGGAGAGTGTTGGCTATCAGCACTGTCTCCTACGCACACACGAAGGCAGGCACGGAGCAACGTAAAGATATGAATGTAGGCAGCGCTTTATCTGCGCTCCTGGACTGCACCATCATGTAACTGTTGAACTGGCGATGCTCTTTGATAGCGCTTTTGACCTCCTCAAAGCCTGCACGTTCGACTATTAAGATGAACGCTTACGGCGCCCCTGAAGTGACTCCTGACGTGAAGTCTCTATTCATGTGCTATCAATATTGGATCAGGATACAGTAATGCGAGCGCAGAGATAGTCGTTGGTGCGTTTGTCAGTCCTGCGGAGGAGCGTCGGGGGGCTAGCGCGAGACCAAAACACCAGGCTCGATATCTCTGCTTCACCACTGACGAGCGCCGCCCACCCCGCCCTAACCCTGTCTTCAAAACTCCTCTCCTTCTCGAGCTCCTCATCTCCAAAAGCCTCCTCATCAATACCTTCCCCGTCGTACCCGCACGCGACAAGCAAATCCAAGCCAACATGAACATCCAGCAAGCGCGGCAGCCAGACCCGAGCTTCGCTCGTACAACAGCGCTCATGGTCAACATATTCTCCATGACCACAGAAGCGGTCGATCAGCGCAAGCTTCTGAGCGCGAGGGAAGTGGGCGGTCAGCTACATCTGCGCTTCCGCCTCAAATGGGATATCAGTCCCGGAATTCTCGCTCGAGAGCGAAGGTCCGTGACAGACGAGAGCTTCAAAGCATTTAAGTCGCACAACTACTGCGTCTTTGCGTGCAAGCTCCTAGCGGGTCTTTTGGCTTGGCTAGTCGAGGGTGAGTAGTATTTCGATTGTTTACAAGAGATTCTCACCGCTAACAAACTATGACGCAGAACTACGCCTTCCAATCGATGTCGAAGAGGTGGAGATTCACGGGGTCTACGAGATCAAACCCGTCGTCTGCATCGAGAGCTCGACCGGCAGGAGAAGGCGGATTGCCGACGTACACACGGTGTTCAAAATCACCTCCCCCAACGACGATGGAGAGGGCGTCTACATCGACCCCTCAGCGCCCCAGTACCTACGACCCGCGGGCGTATACCCCGTCAGAGGATACCCTGCATACCCGGACGAGGAAGTGAAAGTGCCGATAGAGTTCTTCTCCTTGGGATACAATTACTCCCAACACCTCAACAGCGTTCACGAGAACGAAGCCAGTTCGTCACGTTCCCGCACCCTGCGCACAGAATTCCGAACCGAAGCGATCGTGCGAACGGTCAACAACCGGGTATACCAGAAGATGACTGGCTGCGTATGGAAGGACGTCATCAGGGGCGGCAATGATGACAAGTGGGGTGCTCTGGAGCATGATATCCTGAGCTCCGTCAAGGCGGATCTCGATGTCCTGGTGAACTACCTCGACAACAAGTACATCCCGGGCAATCTCGACAGGAACACACACTGGAAAGCCCTGGCTAAATCCTGCATGGGTACCGGGCATACGAAGGTCATGGAGTCTCTGGAGCGAGCGTCAGGACTCGAGGTGACGCGGCATCAACTTTCTTAGGTAGCTTCTTTGCGCGCGGTCAAAGACCAATTAAATCATTACACCGCAACTCATTAACCCGTGCTTGCAATCATCATCGATGAACTCTACAAGCTCATCTGAGTCCAAGTATCCTCGAAAAGGTTTTGCGTGTTTCCAGCTACGCAATATTGAGATGTCTTTCTGGTTGACTTTCAGCCTTGGCGTCCCCGACGATTGAACATATGCACGCCCAACACAACGGTTCTCGTATACTATCCACACCAGTACACTGATATCACCTGGATGAAACAGCTTCTGAGGCTGAAGATGAGCTTCCGCAGCATGAAACCCGGCATGTATTGTCCTCTGCAGAGTACAGATTGCCTACGTACAAGCCCGCAAGCAACTGATAGGACAGCTAGCCAAGGACTATGTATCTTCTCTATCCCCAACAAGCTTGAGCAGCAGCCTTTGCCCTTTCCGTCGCTTTCTCACGTACATAGTCTTCTCGATCGCTAGTCGCCATGCCCTCCAGCATCGCCCAGTTGAGGCTCTGCAGCATCTCGCGCAAGCTGATCCCAATTTTGTGCCAATATCCCTGGCAAAACTCTTTGTGGTCTTCCAGACTCATATCTCTGTGATACAAGTCGAGTTTGTATTGCCCATCACGGGTGTAATCATGCCAAAACTTGTCGCCGTTTATAATCGCGTTTGTTACTGGCCACCCCAATTGCTCTGCTGTGCCATCGAAGATGATCTCGGATTCGTCTTGCTTGCGGATGAGAAGGACCGAATGGGGCATCGAGGTCTTTTCGTTGCGGATGTGGAGGACTTGGGTCGGCCTTGGATTCTCGATTACAGCATACTCGACGTCGGCGTCGTATGCTGTAGGGATAATGTTAATTACTGGGGCCCGGCGAGGAAGCTACGATCAGGGAGTTTACAATGTAGTCGCGTCTCGACCGCCTCGTAGAAGATCGTGCAAAAGGTGTCGCACAGGTTCAGCTTCTTGTAAGAGATCTTGAGCGCTTCTGAGGTCCCTACGGGCACTTGGCCGTGGCTTTGGCGATCGCGTGTCACCAGTATATGGTCGTCGCCAAGATTGCTGGCGCCAAAGGAAGTGACAGAGAATGGGCGAAATGCGGCCACGGCGGCGTTGAATGCGATGAGGAAGAGTTCGAGACTCTCTTCGATCGTGAGTCCGGCTGTTGAAGGTGCGCTGGAAGAGGACATCGTCGGCGTTGTTCAGGGATTGGTTCTGTGCGGACAAGTCGTCGGCGGTGACAGTGACAGGAGCGATAAAGTGAGACAGTTGGACCCTTCTTTTCGCTCCGCTCGTGCACCGTCTCCTCTGAACGACATTTTGGACACAAACCCCGCTATTCCCTTCCCAGATCGCGCGATATCTCTCACCTCCGCGACACCCATAACAACTTCCGGCCGCCGTCAATCTATGCGCTCTCGCACACTCGAAACCGACTCCGGACCGCAAGCCACAATGGCAGACCATCCAGGGGTTCCTGTCTGTTTCGAAGATAGCGAATACCGCAGCGTCCGCACTCGCGTCCAGGAGAGGGCGGAGCGGAATCTGTATCGCGTCGACCGCATCGTCAACCGCCTGTTTCTCGAATTCAGCGACACGACAAACCGCTTGTCGGTCATGTCTGAGGTTGCCGACGAGAGCGGAAGTTCACTCTGGATAGGAGTGCGCAATATCGAAGGCCATCCGGGCAAGGTATCAGTACTGGAGAACCAATCCATTTCCCTCAAGGCAAGGCATGCCTATCTGTCACATAACAAGTGTGTCCTTGTTCTGAAGGCCTTTGCCCCGACAGTGGCTTTCTTCACCGAAGGTTTGTGTCCGCCATTACATCTAGCGAGACCCAAACTAAGGCTAACATCTTCAGGTCTTACCCCCTCGATAGAAGTACACGAAGCCCATATCGATCACGTCGAGCCCGACCAAGAGGTAGAGGTCACCTACTGGCAGGAGGAATACTCGGAAACGACTATGCTCACACTACCCGTCGCCGCTTGGCACTCCATGTTCAGGATCACACCGACCGACGAACACAACCTCTGTCGCCCAGAGAAGCCCGCCCGTTTGAACGATACCGGAACGTACCTTGACCCCACAGCGGCTCAGTACGGTCGTGACCAGGGGCTCAGGGACGCAGGTGTCTATCATACCCTTAGCCCGGAATCCAAGACGCTATCGTTCACGAGCCTCGGCTACCATTACTACGAATGTCAATCGGAGGAGGAGGACGTTGGACGTACACCAATTCGCGCTTTAGAAATGGAGGCATACATTCGAACGATGGACAACGCCATACACAAGGTCGTCGAGGAAGTCGGGGGGCGCGCAGAGCTCTTCGACATGTCGCCTACAAACTTTGAAGCCATATTGGAGTTAATGGCCACTCAAGCTCGGTCAGATCTTCTTGATGTTGCTGAACAGCTATATTTCCTCGACTATACTCGAACTCAAGACATAGAAGAGGGAAGCTCTGGAGATATAACCAGGTATCAGGCGGTGGCTGATGGATGCATGGGCGCAGGCCACAGGAGGTTCCTGCGAGCCTTGAGAGATCGAGTTCCTCGTTCGTGGAAGTGTGAGGACGGCTTCTCAGGTTGTGTTTACGTGGTCGAAGGCAATGACAGCGAAGGATGACGGCCTGCAGCCGCAGCCGGTGAAATGGCTCAGTCGAAATATGTCAGGGCATGAAAATTGATCCCAGATTCTTGAAACCTGTAACTTTCCATGCAATAGTCTCAATCAAGATGTCTTTTAATCGCAGTCATCGAGCTTCTCTTCGCCGTGATGAGGTTTGTCGAAGTTGTCCTAGCGTGGTGCTAATGCCGCATCGGTCAATTTCGCCCCACCATGATCTCGTGGAATCTTAACTTCCAGACATCATGTACGAATCGCACAGTCCAGTATCGGCAGATCGCGTCGCGCGATCCAAGACTGTGCATCCAAAAAAATGATGCTCTCGTAGAGTATCGCGGCTGAAAGGGGACATTAAGCCCTCGACCGACCCCACCTGGGCAGCCGTCCGAAGTCATCAAGTCCTTCGAACGGCCTGTGTTCTCGTGATGTACACAGCATGCTTCTATTCATTTATTGTCAGCTGCCGCCATTGCGATACTTGCCAGGGTCGTCATCGAATGTAGCTGTTCGACTGCATCACGTTTTGTCTACTGCATGCGGCACGTCTTCTGCGCCATTGGTGGTGCCAACAACCTCAACAGTCTTCTCGCTGCCGTTCTGCAAGACTCTCCGTGCCGCATGCTTACTATGTCTCTGTCGAGAATATCTGATGCTAGATTTAGAATGCGCCAAATCGCTCATGTGCTATTAAGCTACGGCATCAGGCGGCACGGCACGTGTGTGATAATGTAGCCAGTCGCGCTCAAATAGCCCTCGCGAGCAAAAAACAAGAACCCCGACCTAATGTCGAGCATGCGCGGATTCGAACGCGGGAGCAAAGAGTTCGGTGCCCCCAATTGGGGGCACCTACATCTCTCCTAGGCCACGAGTTAGTGGAATAACGACGAATATTTGCGAATATATAGCCAACAAAGTCGGGAAAGACACGCCCAACAAAGTATTCTGACCCGAACTCGTGGAGTCCCGTTTACGGGCCCTTCCAGGAACAAAAATGAGGTGAACCGCAATGTCCGCAAAGCCAGTGACACGCGGTGAAAACATTCGTCTGCGCACAACAGAGACCGAGGAGCCGAGGTGAAGGGGCGGGCAAAAAGCGAGCCCTTTGACTTATTGTTTGCCTCCAGGAAGAGTCGAACGCGGGAGCAAAAAAACAAGATATGGATGCGGAAACAGCAAAAGGTTCGGTGCCCGCGGCACCTACATCCTTTCCTGTGACCACTAGTTAGTGAGATAGCGACGATTTACTTTAATTATATATCCAACGGACCTTAGTTGGTTCGTATGCCTTCGAGATTTTGGATTTGTGGCTTCACTGTTGGTGGGCGGGCGCAGAACATCGCGCTCCTTCACCCAGCAGGGTCTACGGCGAATCGATCGCTCGACTCTCGTTCTCCATCAGCCGACGAGAAGGTCGTGCTACTGGTGTTGGCTAGACATCTTCCAACCCATGACCGAGTATAAGACAACGCACCTAATGGCTTCGGCAAGACTTGTGCATGATTCCAGTTGCTTGTGCGAAATGTACGAACAACAGACTTAGTAGCACCTATGGTCGTGTCCTTTTAGTGGCTTCCTTTGACGTCGTGTAGATGACATCTGATCGACTGCAATCTCTGGGCTTTGTGGTGCCATCCACCAGGCTCTTGTCTGTTCATCGACAGGATCATGGGACCGATATTGAATGTTTTTCTGAGCAATGCTCATCCTGATGCAGAATGTACAGCATGGTTGCAGATATGTGCCCATCCTCCATGAATGAACCCCGACTTGGGGGTTAGGACGCAGCCAACGAGACTAGTATTGCCAGATGATGACATCAGAACTCTGTGCTGGGAAGGAAGGAGATTCAACAGCATATCATGATCACACGTGCATGTCTCAAGCTTGACTTGCTCCAGTGACCGCAGCCTTCTAGACTTAGCGGCACATGCGGTCGGTGCAATCTTTACTTGCAGGCTGAGTGCAGCCTTGTCAACGTGTTACGGATGTCGACTTGGCCAGCCACGATTATTGATGCGTTGCGGTCATCATCCGGTCTGAGACAAGGGATAGCCTTTAGCAAGCGCACTGAGACGTCCCCCGATGTAGACTTTGGTATGATTCAAGCTGTGTTGCAGTACCGAGCGTCTCTGTGCCTAGCGAGGGCAGGCATAGGCGTTGTGCGCAGTCGGTCGATTTGATGTTCGCAACTTGAGGCGAGGGTGTTGGGGCCTCAGCTCTATGTCCGCAACTTCATCGACGACTCCGCCACCACCCCCGCAACCAACACCACGACGCAAACCACATCACCCCGGAACGACGAAATGAGCATCCGAATGGCTTGCCGCGACGTCGTGATGAGTCTTGGAGAATCCAGGATAGCGGAAATTGCACCTGAGGGCGCTCTGCCGACGAAGGGCATGCGGTGCGAAACAACTTTCCCGTCTGCGCTCCAGCGCTCGCGCAAGGGAAGCACCGATACATGAACCACCTTTCATCGCAGCACTGTAAGTTCATCTCCTCCTGGGTGTGTTACTTGTTGCCTCCTGCAGAGGTGGCGGATCGAGAGAGAACCGTTCAGTCGCGGCTTTGACGCCTCCTGGTCGGCGGCGGGGTAGATTTCAACAGGCCCAATGTGCTGCTAGAAAACTGACATCTTCCTTCTTTAGAGGCGGCGACAGAGATGGGCCGCATCAACTCAGTCTGCCACTTGAGGCCATCGCTGGCCTGCCGCTGCGGCTGGTTCACGTCTGCATCACCTCCGCGGCACCGCACCCTCAACACCGAACACACTCGCGCCAACACCACGAACACGAGGAACGACTCGACGCACATCGCTCTCCGATAGGGGGTCTTGACGGCTGTCGCTCTGTCGGCAAGCGGCTATGCATACGCACACAACGGCAGGCGACGGTAGCGGCGGCGGCGGCGCCCATGGGGAATGCTGCGACCGCCGCGACTGGCACAGTCAAACAGTTCACAAACTCTTTATCCTTGCGAAGTAGTGTGGTACCCCAGGAAGTCTCGATCTTGGTTGTTGTCGCAGTGCGCAGCGTAAAGCCGCTGGCTCCCAAGACGGACAAAGGAGGCAACAGACTACAGTTTCTGCGACATAGCGACTGGAGCGAAGCAGGCAAAGAGAGCCCTCTTCCCTTAGGACCAACAGGTCGCCGAGGACTGAGACTGTTTCGCATTGGAAGCCGTCACGACGTGACCGCCGGCTTGCGTCCGCGGCTGAGCTCTCCGCAGAGAAGGACGGAACCGTAAGTACCCTTGCGACAGCAGAGGTGGCGATCGGTCCGGGTGTGCAGAGATGTGGAACACCATGCTCAAGGCGACTGCATGTTTGCTCAAGCTGGCCTCAACATGGTACGGAGTTCTGTGCCTGCCTCACCTAGCGGCGTTATCTTGAGTACACACTGACAGGTAGCCAGGTACCTCCTCCGCTGACGACCGCATCACAACGTTGTCTCCTTCGCAGGCATACAACTTTGAACGCGCCGCCATTCGCATACGAACGAACGTCGATCGCTTGCCTCAGCCGCCTCTCACGCATACAAGCAGCATTCCAGACACGTCTCTGGCGTACGAATATGCAAGGTTACAACAAAACATGACAGACTCGGCAGCAGTCAAGAGCGTCGTGCGGAACCCACGTTGCGAATGGGAAAGCTTTTGGTGCGATTTGGCGGGTGGACGCATAACAGATGATCCTCCGTAAGGTTCAGCTGGCCGGTCTTCAATGGCAATGGCAGATGGACACGATAGGCAGTCTTGGAGAGAAGCACTGAAGACGCCTCATCTCATTGCCGTGTCAGACGGGGGCAAGACAATAAGACGGCGATCAGATGGGATACGATGCACACCTGGCCAAGCTTGGATGCGGTACCGTCATGGCGGCCATGGGATTAGCCCTGCTCTAGGCTCCTTGCAGCAGCGCAACCGGCTGCGAAGACGGGCCTGAGGCGGCACAGTGTCGGCGACTGGTCGAATGTGTCGCAGTCTTCATCCGGGATGGAATTTTCTCGGAACGCTCCTCACGCCCTGCGACCAAACCGCTCTCAACTCCAAGCTCTTCCTCAAACGCAGTCTGGGTCTTTTATGCCGGATAAAGAGACAGCGGTTACTCGCCTGATAGCCTGCAAGACGCGAAACGTGATGATGATGATGATGGATGCATCATCTGGCAAACGTTCTGACAAGCAAGCCTGAGTCGCTGCAAAGAATCTGAGGCATACCGAAGACTAGACAGGAACAGAAAAAAGAGATGGAAAGATGTGACTGATGGGCGTGGACGTTGAAGAAAATGAGGGTCGTCGAGAAAGAGGTGGAACGCTGTGACTGATGGCCATGGACGTTGAGGAAAGCGAGGATCCTTGAGAAAGAGATGGAAGGAGGTTTGACGCGCATGTGGCAATGTCGGAAGCTGCCCTGGTGGGGCCTGCCGACTTCATCCGCCGCGGCGAATGCAGCGGACGAACACGAAAAGGAACCAAGGAGCAATACTCACAACCCCCAGCTCGATGCAATGACCAGATGCCCTGGCATCGTCGGGCGGTATGCAGAGATGTCTTTGTTATCTCAAGACAGAGTATGACGTCGCTGACGTGCGACTTCTCAAAGCCTCCTCAGGTACAGGCTACCGCGCCATGGGTAACTTGGGTGATCTGGCACCGGTCATCGCTATCGTCGGTTAGGGCACCATCCTATGGTACCTGGCACGTATTGTTTGACTAGAAGTCAACGAACCATCAGCACGACCAACTCATCACAAGAGTAGTTCGGCATATTCGCTGTCGTATCATCACTCCAGACTGGCAGAAATCTCGTCCACAGCCAGGCCGCATTACCATGTCTGCTACCTCGTTGGCGACGGCGAGACGCTCTACACTCTGTGCACTGCACGCAATACTCACGAGCTCCAAACGCCTCTGCGGCTGCAACTCCATACATGGCGATGTGAGTGGCCCCCAACATGCCAACCGGGGATATTAGGGCGACACCATCAAACCAGGGCATCTACGCCTGACTCGCTGTCGATCGTTATTCGCAAGGCTGCGTGAATCCAATCTCAAAGCCGTTACGCGTATGTGCTACGACTTTGTCGAGAGCACTTTGGAGCTCGATTGGCATGGATCATAGTCGTCGATCGAGTCACCGGGAGCGCCGATTATTAGTCCGAGCAGCTAAAGTCGACGATCGCCTGGGGTACGGCTCGTACTTCGTTGAGGTTTCTCGTCGTGGAATGCGTCCTTGTCCGTATTTCTACAACGCGATAGCGATAATGTCTCTCAGACTCCTGGGTTGAAGAGGAGTGAAATCGGGTGCGGAGAGCGAGCCATGATGGATCAAGGAAACCGTTGTCGTGGAACTCACTTCAAACACATCGACTTACTACGGGCAGAACCCTCTCCTCCCTTGAACTTCTCGATGTCACTCACACCACTCAACACTTCCAAAGAGATGCATAGGCCCGTATCTCCTAGACTGAAGCGCGCAGAAGCTTGACTTTTGCATTGTGCGACGATGCTTGACAGTGCTAGAACGGCTACGTGTCGCCTGCAGTGGAAATGGGGGGTGTGGGCAACGAAGAGACGGACGAGGTAGGAGAGGCACGAAATCGAACGATCTATCACTCATCTCCCGGCTTTCAATTCGACCGCAAGCGGTGGATATCAAAGAGGCACAGAGAGGGAGACGTCGGCCTCGAAGCCGCGAGCCTGTAGCAAGAAGATGGTGTCTGAGGATTGCATGTCAGCAATGACGTTGCATAGGACACCGTCGTCTGTCCCAAGCAGATTTCGGAGCAAGACATGCTGCTGGTCGGACTGCCGAACACATGTTTTGCGGGAGTTTGAACCTGCCTCCGTACTCCCTTGTCAAGCATCTCTTCGGAGATGGACCGGAGAGCAGTACGCACCACCATGTGCGTCGGCCAGCTGCCGCCGTCTGTCAACTCAACCACACAGGCCGGGACGCACGCCATTAACCTCTTTCCATCCTGGTTCACATACGCGTATGTATTCCGTGTCCATATCATATGAGGAGAAGCTGACGCAACTTAGGTAGCCGAACTGGGTGGGAGACGAAGAGAGATTGTAAGATATAGGATGGAGGTTGAAGCGGTGGCGATACGAGATTGGGAGGAAGGTAAGAGACCGTTGAGAGACGCGATTGACTCTGTGCTGACCCGGAGGCAGGTGGACGTTGCGGTATCGTCGCGGAGATAAGGTGATGGGTGTGCGAGCCTGGCGGCTCACAATGCTTCGTGGGAAGCCCGGCTGCGCGGTGGATGTAGCGAGCGGCAATCAATCCTTTGCCGAATTCTCCCAGTCCGATGCACTGTGCCCAGAGTTTCCAGCGCCCGGTATGCGTTCTAACTTCAGACAGGTATGCTAATCGCCGTATAGGAGGTCGCGAGTGAGGTGGGGTTGGAGCCGCAGGATGCTCGCCGGCGGAGGATCAAGGAGCCGCGCCATCGTCGCCTGACAACGCACGTCGACAGCGCAAGGCCATCCGAGGGAAGCTCGACGAGCTCGAGGGCCTCTTCGGTATCTTGTTGGTCTCTCTCGCGATGGTGGACGGGGCAGTCTATGGCGTGGATTCGGCGGCTTCGGTCAAGCTCTCGGTCGTGTCCTATGCTACGGCGGCACGTTAGGAGCGAGCGGAGCTGCTCTACCGTAAGAGGAGGAATGTGTCATCGCCAGAAGCCAGTCCGAGACTGTAGCCTCGATGTGGTGGGGTGATTGGGTTGGGGTAGTCTGTGGGCTTGAGGAAGGGGCAGAGAATCGAAGCAACCAACTTCAATCTCGGTCCGTGCGCTGGAGGTGCCTTCCCCGAGCAGCCCAGCAACACCACCACCGCCCTCACAGAGCTGCATGAGGCACCCTCAAAGCTGCTCCTGGTCCATACGAACCTCCTCAGCTGCATTGGCTGCGCGACATCAGGGCGAAGATGACTCCTTTGCCAGCTGCAGATCGGGAAACCTCCGCAGGGCAAAAGAAAGTCCGGGGCCGACGACATCCCTAGCAGCGGTGACGGGACTTCACGAGCGCCTACGACAGGCATGCATACTCAACAGGATCTCGCCAGACACGTCTCGCATCTCCCAATACAGCGTGTCGCCTTCTCCGTCTATGCGCATCGCCGCAGCACAGACGATAGGAGCGGCTGCTACAGCTGATGGCAACCCTGGATCTCGCGACCGGAGCGGAAAGAATCACAACAATAGCCGCTGAGCCTCCGGATCTGTGTGGTACTCGAAGATCCTCGACAAGGCGACATCGGCGGCATCTTGCAAGCGGATCGAGTACTCGCGGCGAACAACGGAGGTGCCGGTGAACGACGACCGTCTAAGGAACAAATGCCTTCGTGTCGCACACCCACGATACCGGTCGTACACGAGACGATCGTACAATTTATACTTCTCAGGTTCATGGGCACTCGACATTCGACATCATCGATGGAGAGAACGCCATTAATTCACGAGGCATGATTCTGGGGCCGAGGGATAACTCGAGCTGATGAGTCGCACAGTCTCGCAGAAGCTCGGTAAGAGCCCGAATCTCGCTCTATCGAACATCGCGTAGCCCGCCGGCTCAGAGCCAGTATATGAACACTCGGAAGGAAACGTTCTGGCGAGTATGTGCATCGTGATGTCTTACTATAAACCTTGGAACATCCTGCATCGGGAATGACGCTGAATCTGAAGATCTGCCATGTTACTTCTTCACATACTGGTAGGCAGCTAATCGGACGCATCTAGCCATTGCAGATCTGTCGTACATGGAGCAGGTGTAAAGGAGTTGGTAACCGGTGTTGGTCTATTCCAACGCTACAACTTATGGAGATCAGATCAACTTCAGTGAGTCTCCGTCGCCATCCTTTGAAGACGTCTTCCACAAGTTCATGTACTCCATTCCCATGCCCACATCCCAATCCTCTTTAAGATCCAACTCTTCGTTCTCCACCACATCTTGTTCCGTGATCTTCCCATCGTCTAGTGCTTCTCGTAACTCCTTGAGTGCCGCGTCATCTGTCAAGCTCTGCTTTAGCTCCTCGAAAAAAATTTCACGTTCCTTCCAAAGGTCTTCTAGTGTGTCCGTCTCTTTTATCTCGCCTACTGCTCGATCATGGATCATTTTGCACTGATCGTTGGCTTGCTTCCAATCTTCTTCTTTGATCTGCTCTGGTCGCCAGTGTTCAGCAACCTCCGTGTTTCTCTTCCACATCTTCCTGGCTAAGTGGAGGGTATGCTCAAGCTCCTTGGACCGATTGTAAGGCATAATCCCCCCAAAGTCGATGAGTGTTACGGTCGGGAAGACGTCGTCATCTTTGTTGCTTAGCATGACGTTGCCGCCTCCTTTCAGGTCAATATGGCAGTATCCGTGCTGTTTGAGGTGCCTTTGGACGCGTACGAGTTCGGCAAAGACGTGAAAGACGACACAAGGTGGCAGCCCGTGTACTTTGTATGTCGCGTGTTGTCTTAGTAGATGATGGATACTGCGCCCAGGAATGTATTCAAGAGCATGCCAGTTGGGAGTCTCCATGCCAGGGTAGCCACGCACAGCGGCGATTAGATGATCTCTATCGCCTTCTATTTCTTTAAGCTCATCGAGTAAGCTTTTCTTGATGGATGTAACCTTCTCGCCTGAATTGATTTTGAGAGCTACGCATGACGCCAGGGTTTTCGGACTAGAATGATGTACAGCGAGAACGACATAACCTTCGTAACCTGACCCGAGATGCCTGAGAGCAATGAATTCCTTTTTTGCGCTCTGTGGAAATTTAAAGTCGCGAACGCGATCTGCGTCTGACGCCATTAATGAGGTATGCTACATTACTACAATGGACGCGCATGAGGAATATATAGATCAGCATGGAGCAAACTAGCATGCTTTACTAGTCATCTGGGTATCCAGCAATCACATTGTAGGCTACACAATCACGCAAATGGGCAGCAGTAACGACCTTGCGGCACATCAGCCCACACGATTGATAGTGTCCTAACGTTCATGGCAAGCTTGAGGTATACCGCGCTCGGGTTTCAGACTTCCATTACTATCTATACACGCCGATGTCTTCTGCAGCTGCCAATAATCTACAGACTTCCGTCAACAATGACGTCTATGTCGCCGTCCTCCATCGCCTGCCCCTACTCCTCATCCCCAACCACTGCATCCCAAAGCGCCTCCCTGACGTCCGCCGACCTCCCCTTGTCGTATAGCTCCTTCGCCGAGCAATCCGCCAGATTCCTCCACCTCCTCTTGAGGTCTTTCCACGACAGTTGTCCCTGTGGGTCGTAACCCGCAACGAACGAGTACAATCTGTCTCCATCCCTCAAACTCCTTCCCTTACTATCCTTGAGCTTGTCGCCCTTCTTGGTGGTGCGCAATTCGTCTGGGATGCGTGCTTCGCCGTTTGTGAGATATTGAAGCAGATTCATGATCTGCTTGACAACGGCTTGCTCGTCCCACACAGCAACATCCTCGAGGTGCACAATCTGTACTTGAGGCAACTCCTGCTCCATTGTAGGTGATAGGAGGATGTTGGTTGCGCTGAGATCTGAGTGGCAGATGTTGTTCGGTTCGAGGTCCATGTTGTGTGTGTTGATGAGGTCCGCGAAGATCTTGCAGACGAGGAAGGGTGGGAGGCCGTCGGGAAAGAGAGCGTCCTTGAGGCATTGGAGGCATGTCATTATATGAGCTTGATGTGGGTATCGGTTTCGACAATGGAGACGATTTGGGTAATGGTATCGAGGAAAGAGATGATGTTGACTCGATAGTAAGGTACGGAAAGGTCAAAAGTCTGTTTGCAAGAAACGCGATGGCCTGCGAGTGTGTGCGTGTGCCGGCTAGTCTTTGATAGGCGAGCTTTACGCGGTGACTGCGCGGCTCATTTAAACTCACGGAAAGTTTCATCAGTGAACGTGGAAAATTTGACGAATCAGGGACTAAGGATACACATAAGAGACAGACATGAAAGAAGTAAGGGCATGCATTTACTACACTAAATCGACTATAGAAGTCGCTAATGACGGAGTTGAACACTCAAGTATACTCAAGCCTTCTTGTCCTTTGACGAGATCACGCCAGTCAGCTGGATAGCGTCGTCCACCAAGTTGTTGAGCTGATCAAATTCGCCCGCGAGCCACCTATCTAGCAAAACCTGGTCTTCACTAACAAATGTAGGGCGCTCTGCCGGCAGAACCTTGGTGCATTCTTTGAGATCATTGATGTTGTTGACGCCAAGAAGAGACAAACGTGTGTAGGCTTTAGCGTAGTCCTGCATCAATGTGTTAGCTAGGTCCTTTTCTCGGGTATTTGGCGAGTCATACCGCATTCCATTGAGGCTGAGCAGTACCTCGAACGCTAAACTGCGCCCAAGAAGCGCTCGTCCTCGAGTCCTTGCTCAAGTTGATGTCGCTTTGAAACTTGATGATACGAACAGGTGTATTAGGGTTTGTCGTCTGTGGGTAGAAGGCCATGTCCCAGACACCGGGAGTAGAGTCTTGTGGGTCGCCGTCGCGGCTAGTGTCGACAAAGTGTTGCTGCGATGTAGTGTGCGCCCCGACCAACGCGACTAGATCGTGTGCATCGATAGTCTTGTCTTGGAAAAGCTTGATGAGCTTATCCGCAGAGTCCTTTTCTCCAGGGAGAAGACCAGTAGGCCCAGCTTTGCTATTGTCCTTACGCCCAATGAATGTTCTGACCCTGGGTCCAAGTGGACATACAACAGTGGCGACGTTGGCACCAAACTGGATGATGTCCGCCATGCTCATTCCGTACTGGTTGTATTTGGTGTACCACTTCTTCGTTTGGTCGGCAATCGCAGATAAGCCGTTGTTATCTGTACGCGACATCTCGTCGCTGAGGAGAATACTGCCGTCTGCACCGCCATAACTGCTGCTCTTAGACCATACGCCTGCGTCATGGAAGCCCAGACGAACAGCTTGACGAGCAAACTTGCTGCAGCGACCGGAAGTACCGTTGAACTTGGCCGTCATCTCGTACGCGAGCCACTTCCAATGACAGCACATGTCGGCTTTGCAGGCGGCACTGCCGATGTTGCCAGCAGGGATGGAGTTATCAATGGTAGCAGACTCCGCAGACTTCTGGTCGAGAATGATCGCTTTGATGTCTTTGCCGATGGCAGTGAGCTTGGAGTCTGCGAGTGTCTTCAGGTCGCCGATGAGCTCTTTCGATGCTTGTCGCTTTTCACGGGCAGCGAGATGGCGCATCTCTGCCATGGTATCGCCCATCCCTGGGTGAGCTTCCGTGAGGGGCATGCATGCCAAGAGAGCATAGCTGAAGTAAGAGAAGGCTTTCATCTTGCTTGATGATGATGATGCACAACTATGGAGTGACAAAGCGGACGACTTGATATGAGTGAAACGATCGTGCTTGGATTCAGACTCTTATAGACTTCCTCTGAGTAACCCTAAGGAGTACATCTCGCTTTAGTGATACTTTAGATTGAGACATAATTGCCACTGACCATCCAGAACGCCGGTATTAAGGTGCAGATGGATAAGGCCGCTGTTTACCCTGCATATACTGTCATACCATATGGCATTCACCTCGCTGATCAAGAGCTTCTGACCCCGTCTTCATCGTATCATATCCGGGTGTAAAGTCGAAAGACCATCTGAAAGGCCGAGAATCCGGAAAGGAAGGAGCTGACAGCCAAGAGGTAAGATCGGAGGCTAGATGATTGGTTAAGACCGAGCAAGGTGGTGAGAAAGACGTGCCTGGATACCGGGTACGCGAACACGGGAGGCGAAGATTGGTTTGGAATGCTGCCGTAATACGTGAAGTATATTGCACGTACAGCTGAACGCAGAGCTGGAATCATCTCGTGTAGTAGTTAGGCTACGCAGGGGCTGAGACTGATACTTATTCTCGCGGGTCCTTCTGTGAAGAACGTACCAGTTACACAGTATCAAAGGTCATCAGCTTCGGTGTACTGTTGTGTGGTGTAGATCACAGTACGCTCTTGCTTCTGAATAGCTATCATGCTTCTGTCAATAGCAATGAATACGCGAGATATTAGACGGCGGCCGAAAGGACCGGTAAGTCCAGACGCAGGCAATATACCGAGCTCGTATAGGGAACAGTTGGATGGTCTTCGGGTGATACGACTATTCTTAGAAGCTGCCAGTGTGTCGGTCCCAGGTTGCAGGCGGTAGATCCTGCGACCGCAATATCAACCCGTCGATGGTGGAACCGAGCTACGTTAGTGCTTCAGCCTCACAATCAAAGTAGATCTGGGCATATACTCCCAGGACCACTGGCGATCGTATTCGACGCGCCGCGGACGGCACTGCAGAGCGAGACGAAAAGAGGCGTCGAGCGAGAACGGATTTTAGAGCGACCAGGTAGTGATGCGTGTGGCAGACAACTGCAGTGAACCGGTAAGCTGCAGGCCAGGGCGCCGCCGCCAGGCGAGTAACATTTAGCCGGATAACACACAGTACTCCACGGCTTCTTCTTCGTACCGAGCCATGGTTCGATGCCAATACAAGAGGCTGCCTTTGCATGTGCGTCTTGTTTAGCATACCAAACACGTGGTTTGCTGTGCCTTCTGCCAGAGATGTAATGTCGATCGTTCATCATGCGTGATGAAAGCCGAGATCATGAACTTCTTCCTACGCATATATCGCATACGGTTGTACAGGATGACAAGCCGAGGGTATAGGATGCTGATAAGCCGGTACTTGTGACGGTACTGGGCTACTCCAAGCAATGGATAACACTCGACGTGATCGGTCGCGAGGTTCGATGGAGTCGGCGTGTGCTGGCGCATACGTTGAGGAACGACGCAGTAAAAAGGTCACATTGTCCAAATGGAGGACCTCAGCTTGTGTGTTCCTCCATTTTGCAGCTGCGGTCGTCGCGGTGTGGACTGCTCATGGCACGAAGGAAAGCCCGTCATCCGCCAGTGGACCTCGGAGGTTGAGGCTGAGAAGGCAGATCCGCGCGCTGTGGGCTGCCGAAGAAGTCCGGGTGAACACAAATGATGCGCACACACCAGCAGGACGACTGTAACGCATTGAGGGTTGTAGAGGCCGCCGTCGCGAAAGCTGGCGCTGCTGGGTCAGAAGGGGATGAAGGAGATGACGTGGGGCCGGGCCGAAATTGCGCCATCCGGACTCGGCCTAGACGGGATCTAATTCCATCCCTACTAGAAGGCCATCTCTCTTCACAGCCACCAACTTCCAACACCAAAACGCCGCACAGTCGCGCTGCGCCCAATAGCAAATCTCCGCAAAGATCGAAAGGGTTGAAAGGATGGGCACAGTCGCAACTTTGCTCGTCTTTGATACCGACGGTGTTGGAAAGTAACACAGGCGCCGCAATGCTGCGGACCGCGATCGGTTCTCATGGCGCAGCCGCGCTCAGCCCTTACAACAAGACGAGCTCTTTCTCTCGTATCTCAGGCTCTCCGTCGCTTCATTCATGCGTGTTGTTGATCTTGTTAGCTTGTCTCTAGTCCACACAACCCCCTCAGTCTCCTTACCAGCGCTTGAGTCGTCAAGTGCATCCCAACGCTCGTTTGCACCTTTTCTAATTCTAGTTTGCTATACAACCGCCCCCGCGAAGATGCTACCGAGCAAACTGCGACGCCTGTCTAGCCTGTTCTCGAACCCGAAGACCTCCTTCCAGGTCCTATCAGATCTCAACCTAGACTACGAATCACAATACCTCGCGTTCCACGTACCCGTCGCGGCGCCCTTCTTGATACTTGCTGGAAACATTGGCAGGCTTATAGACTACGAGCTGTATCTGTGGTTTCTGATTCGACGGTGTGGTCTTCATGAGAAGGTATTTCTGGTTCTCGGTCCGCTGGAGTTCCACGGCATTAGCTGGATGGACGGCTTACAGTTGGCGCACAAGATGGAGAGAGAGCCTTCTCTGAAGGGGAAATTGGAGATACTATACGAGACGGGAAGCGACGTGCCGGGCACGAACATTACGCTGCTTGGCTGCACGCTGTGGAGTAACATACCGGATTCGGACGCACCTGCTGTGCTGCGAAAGATGCCCGAATTCAACAGGGATACCGGTATAGAGATGTGGGACGTCGTCAAGCACAACTCGGAGCATAAAAGGGACTTGAGGTGGCTCTTGGATGCAGTCAACAGCCCCAATGCATCACCGAGTGGCGCGTTAGCACTGACATGTTCCGGAGCGTCAAAAGATGAGCGACAGATCGTCGTTGTCACGTCCTTCGCGCCAGATCTACCTGGTTGTTTGGACTCCTGGCACGTAGATGCGCCTTGGGCATCTGCATACGGGACCAATCTGCTACACGGCCCTCATTTTCGCAATGTGAAGATGTGGATCTCGGGTATGACAGGCCGGACATGTGAGTTTAAGCGAGGCGACACTAGGCTCGTGAGCAACCAGCGGGGCCGTGAGGGCGAACATGCAACTGGTCTTCTGAAAGCAGGCATGTCCGATAAGCAGAAGACCGGCCTGTTCGACGTCATGCGGGTGGTCAAGATTTAAAAATCCTTCAAGTTATACAGCCGACGGCAGGATTCGTCTCAATATTAACCAAGCCGCTAACAGCAACTCGTTGTGCACCCAAGCCTGAATGCGAGGTACGACGCGAAAATGCGAGCCCCACATATGTACGCTGACCAATCCGACGCCACGCCCTTCGACATGCGCCGGCATGTGGTCACACTTTGGCATCGTCATGCTTGCGGCGTAGCACATGCAACGTAGCAAGTAAGGAGACCCATCCTGATAGTGACTTTGGATATCCTATAACTAGCAGGATCATCTCCAGAGTGTCCTGCAACGATTGCAGAATCGTTTCCAATTTCGAGATCTACGATGTCTTCTTCCACCGAGACCGCAACTCTAACGGCATCATGTCTCTGTGGCGCTCACAACTACAGTACAACCTTTCCTGCATCCGCTCTTCCCTTACCAGGGCATGTGTGCCACTGCACGACCTGTCGGCACCTGTGCGGCTCGCTCCACACATCGCTCACATCATGGCCTGAGCCTCGCGCCAACGTCGACATTTCCAGCCTTCGGACATTCAGCTGCTGGGAGCGCTTCGACCTCTTGTTCTGCCCTACCTGCTCAAGCCCGGTCTTCTGTGCCTTCAAAGATCCGGCCAGGAATCTGGGAGTGGTCACTGGTGCGCTCGGTAACGTGGACATCGGAGGTCGCCAGTTGATCAAGTTCGGTGGGCAGGGTTTCGTGGCCGACACGGAAGATGGTGGTGCAAGTCCTTGGCTCTGTGCTCTCAATGGCGAAGGGGAAGATCTGAAGCGTTACGAAAGTGTGGTAGCCGGTCGTGGCCCTGGAGCGAAGGAGTTGCCTGCGGACTGGCCACAACCCTCCACTCTCCCGGAACTCAAAGCGAAAGGGGAAGAAAGTGTACCGATACGCTGCAAATGTGGCGGGGTAGATCTGGTACTCCAGCGTGGCGATTACAAGCACATGGCCGAAGATGAGCTGCCCTCCAACGTCGAACCTGTCAGCAGGAAGCTCAAAGCCGGCTTCTGTGGATGCGACAGCTGCAGATTGCAAAGTGGGAGTGACGTCTTTAACTGGACGTACGCAGAGACGAAGTCCATATCATTTGGAAAAGATAGCACCAAAGACTTCCCCGTCGACATGTACGCCCTCAACGAACTCATTGACGCAAAGAACCCCGCTGTGGGTACGTTGAAGTACTACAACTCTTCGCCCGATGTCTATCGCCACTTCTGCGACACCTGTTCTGCAGTGGTCTTCTACACTACTGGCAAACGACCGCAGATTTTCGATATCGCTATTGGTCTTTTGAAGTCCAAGGATGGAGCTCGGGTTGAGAACATGCTGTATTGGCCTTATGGAATGAAGTTTAGTTTCCAGGAAGATGGCGATGGAGGTTGGCGAGAGAGCGTGTACGAGAGGCTGAGAAGTAAGGCGGAGGAGTGGCGCGTCGCGAGAGGATACCCGAAGAATTGGAAGAGCAGTGCTGAGTATCAAGACATCAAATGAAGGGTGTATTTCACAAGACATCTACTGTCTACAACTATCGGCGGATGGGTCCTAGGCCAACTTCGAAAGCAGCTTCACCTGCTCGCAAAATTATGCCCAATCCATCGAACCAAACATGATCGGGAAAGAAAACCACTCAGATCCTTGTGCCTTCGTGTCGGCGCCTGTTTCCACATTGTTCAATCTCCACATCTCTATATCCTCAATCCCCACTCCAAGCATGTTCACCACCTGACCACAGTACCCGATCTGGGACTCCAACCACCTCGGCAACCTCTCCATCCTAGAATACGCAACCACATGCCAAATCTCTTCTAGAAGGTGATCATCCAGCCCTGTAGTCATGCCCAACAGTGCCTTCATATAGTCGTTCCACAGGTACTCCGCGACTCTCAACGATCTCGGGGCAGAGATCTCCTCCTTCAGCTCATCGGCCAAGTCAGCGATGTAGGGTGGTCCCCAAGGTGCAGGAGCCCAGAGCGCCTGGTTGGCCGCTCTGTGAGTGAAGTAGGGATGGCGTTGGGTGAGTCCGTAGACTAGCTTGATTGCAGCTGCGGTGTCTGGAACCGACTGTGAGGGCGTGATAGGTGTTGGTGATAGTGACGAAGTCGGAAATAGAAGGAGGTGTATCGTGAGATCTTCAGCGCGGAAGCCATTGCGAGGAGGAGGTTTGTCTGGCCTCTTGATGAGGATCTTCTCTGCGGTGATGGCGTTGTGGAAGACGGAGTGTTTGTGTAGTGCGGTAAGCGTGGCGAGGAGGGCGTGGAAAATGGCGTAGATGAATGTCGCGGATAGGCCGTGTTCAGGGAAGTTTCGAAGAAGGCATGATAGTAAGGCGCCTTCAAGTGGAAGCGTGTTTGGATTCCCCTCACATGCAGCCGCGTTGAACAGGTCGTATGGTACTGAAGAGACTTGGTGTAGTAGCAGCCTTTCTTCATGCGTTGGCTGCTCAAGCTTGCCGAGAACTTCTTGAAGGTGCGTTTGTACAATCGGCTTTTGCTGATAGGGCTGTCCATTTGAAGCCATGTTCGTATAGAGAAGCTAGAAGTGTTGGCAGGATGTTGGTCAGACAAGCAGTAGTGGGGTGATTTGTTAGAGGATACGAAGAAAGCCTACACGCAAGTAGGGAGGGTCATAGCGCCTGGATTTACCTAGGCAATCTGACGTGTCCTTCACCAGGCATCTTGTCGGCAATATAGACGTAACATGGTCGGATTATACGAGTGCCGCTCACACTTGTACATCGGCATCAGTAATCGCTAACTGTAGTATCTAACGGTATCGTTCCCACTGTTGGATAGACTGTGATCTCTATGTTCATTGCTTGTCCAGCGAAAGAGTCGGCCAGACACTTCCCTGGCAGTATAAAACGAGCGGCACATTAACGCCAGAATTTGGAAGCAGAAATTTGCAGACCATACGCCCTTTCTGGCTGTCAATAGTGCACGTATTATCCCACTGAGGTTTATCTTGATACGCTATTTCCCAACTAATATGGCGTTGTTAGCGCGTCGAGCGCTTTCACACGTGTAGTGCCAGTGATGACTTCCCTCCGGGGCTGTCGTATGCTGGAATGGTGCACACCCATGCGCACAGTCACCGTGATTTCCCATCTGGGCAGTCCTCTCACTCAACTCCGCGGCCAGCTCTGCAACCGACTTTGCAACCATCTCTTCTACCACATCTCTACCAACATTTCACGAATATGGAATCCTCCGCTCCGTCGTTCGATCAGGCGTCCGCTGTAAAACGACTCCCCGGCGCCGTCCCCAGGCCCCCATCTGAATCATTCCGCGTGGTCAAGACTCTCTCAGCGCCGAAATCTTCCGCGGGGGTGTATCTCTGTCTACCACGCGCGCTGCCCCCTCCATTCGAGCCGTCAAATAAGATTGATCCGGATATTTCCGATGACACGATCGAGAACCACGACGCTTGGAAGACCTTATCTGGTTTTGCGCGCCTCCAACAGCAACTGCCGTTGCTCACATACAAGAACCTGGGCGAAGTCCTGTACAAGAGCATGCAGGAAAACCGCACATCTTCGCTATCGGAACTACATCTGAGAATGCTGCCCCAGTTGGTGGTAGTCAAGACAAGGAAAAACACGGATGTGCTTCGCAGCGAGGCAACGCAGTTCGAGGAGCACCGTAAGAGGGACAAAGCTTCGCTATTCATCGGCTCATATGTTCTACGCGCTGAGTACGCCGACTCGTCACCCACCTCGTACACCTGTCTCCGACCCATTTTCGGTCCCACGCTGGCGCAGTTCGGCGAAGCGAATATTAAGAATGATCATGGCGGCATTCCCAGCTGGTTCGTTGCGCATATCATTTTGGGCCTGATCGATGCTGTATGCTTCCTACACGAGGAGGGTTTGGTACACGGGAAGATTGAGGCATCGAACATCATGCTCAACCTGTACCCTACGGTGCATCACCATCGGTACCGCGGCTATCCAGACATCCTGCTCATAGACTTCTCAGCCACCGGTCCAAGTAATGAAGACGCCATAAAAAAGGATGAGAGTGATATGCTCAAGGTCATAGAGCAAACCATCACCAAATGGAGCGATGTCGCCCCCTTCCTGGACAACGATGACGTCGGAGACCCTCTCATCGCTCTATTAGCTGCCGTGGAGATGACCCTCAGTGGACATTACGATGGGTACCACAGTATCTCCGACCTCCATGACGGAGCTGAGGACTTGCGACACGAAGGTCCACATCTCATACCAAAAGCCTTGATGAAATTGCTGCATGCGGACCTTGCGACGGCTGCTGAACTCGACCGCGCCGTACAAGAGCCAGCTGTGATTGAGGTAGCAGCCGACAAAGAAGCGTTTGGAGAACTTTCGGAGGACGATTCTGTGACCGTGGGTGGAAGCGACTATGGGGGTGTGAATCCTGAAACCACGGGCGACAAGACGAGGATCATTGAAAACGGAGATGTGGAGTTTGGCGAGGACGAGGAATGGGCGCGCAGCGGGTGAAGCAACCTGAGTACCGCTTTCTGATGGAGACTGAGCAAGGGAAGGAATAGAAGAAACGAGACGAGACGGATACCAAGAAAAGGATCAGAGATGACGAGAGTGTAATGAAGGAAGTCAGAATGCTGGCCTTGTTTAAAGCCTCAGCAACTATTCCGTCACTGTAATCATAGAATACGTATCTCCAACCAGGACTGTGTCTACAACCACTCCTTCGGTACTGCCCTTTCCGACCATATCCTCTCACTTTCCCAAGCCAGCCAATCTGATTTTGTCGTTGGTAAGAGTCCCATGCCATTCACTTTCCATATACCCAACGCCAACATCAGCATGTTGCATGCAATGTAAACGAGCTTGACACCGAGGAGTCGTCCAGATGTGCCGGGAGTCTCAAAGGGAGCGAAGGTGCGTTGAAGACCCAGTACAGCGAGAACGGGAGTTTTGAAGAGCGTGAAGACCATGAAGACGGAGAAGATTTGCAGAGTGTTGCCTGTCATGTACATGCCTGGTGTTGTTAGCGTCTGCTCGCGGAGTCTCCTGTCAAATGACATACCAAAAGCGTTCATGGGCAACTGCTTTGCGGGCGCGATGGCGACCTCCCACGCCTTCTTCATCTTGAGTGTATCCATCTCTTCCGGGGTCGGGGGCTGCCTCTGCGTCTTTGATGCCTGAGAGCGCTCCTTCTTGGTGAGAGAAGCCGTGTAGCCCGGTGGGTCTGAGAGCGAGGCGTTCTTCGGCTTGGATGCGGGCGTCGAGTTGAGGTCGAGCACCCACTGCGGGGGCGGTGGAGGCGATTTCGACATGATGGGACGTCTTTATGATGGCGAAGTATCGGCTATCAAAGTCTGAGATGTTGTTGCGGTGGCCAGGGTCCAGGGTCTCACGATGTTGCAACTTCGCTCGTGGTGTTGCGGAGCGGGCCTCTGGAGAGCTCCACATATGGCGGCCTTGGCGGATGCACGTCCCCTCCTCCGTGTTGACCGCTGGCAGGCTTCCTAAAAGTTACGGTTCCCAAACCTCCCAAACCATTTCTGTCGTTACGCCTCCCCAGCCCTCTTCCACGTTCCTCCGATATGTGCGACACGATACGAAGCCGATAGACCAGCGAATCAGCCATCGAACCCCGCACGCTTCCTCGAGACGGCAAGGGAGGGGCGCTAAGTCGCGAGGGAGGTTATCTTGATTGTGCTACGGCAGGCACATGCATTGGGAGGACAGCCCAGCTGGCATACGCGACATCATTAGCCCAACATGAGCCAGGGCGGCCAAGATGCGAAGCTCTTTGCGAGGGTACGTCTGTCTCGTCATTCGTGCCACCCACGTCTCCGACTTGTGCAATTGCATGTTCTCCTATTCAGCTTGTCTGTCTGCGATGAGCATCCACTGCCATGATGATGTTTCTTCCCTACACCTTTGACAACGCGCGCTTACAAAACCTCCGCACTCCCCAGGGCAAAGTTGCGGAACTCCGTGTCGAACTCAACAATGGCAACAAGAAGGACAAGAACTTCTCCCAGAAGAAGACGGCCCTAAAGAAGATTGTCGCCAATATGACCATGAGCAACAACGACATGGTCGCACTATTCATGGACATCGTGGGCTGCATGCACATACCGAGTCTGGAGATCAAGAAGATGTGGGTAGTGAGGATCACCTAAAGAAGGGCTATGCTGACGCGGGCAGGTGTTTCCTGTATCTCGTCAACTATGCCAGGATAAAACCTGACATTGCGCTCAAAGCGCTGCCCATCATTCAGGAAGACATGCACGACAACAACCCCTTAGTTCGAGCGCTCGCCCTACGGACCATGTCCTACGTTCACGTCCGAGAATTCGTCGAGGCAACCGTGCCGCACCTGAAGAACCTCCTCAAAGACTCCGATCCATACGTTCGAAAGACGGCAGCTTTCTGCGTAGCGAAGCTTTACGACCACGACCGACACTTGGTGGAACAATCAGATCTGATCGACAGGCTGAATGGCATGCTAAGAGACGAGAACCCCACAGTAGTGTCAAGTGCACTGGCAGGACTCATGGACATCTGGGAGCGAAGTGAGAACATCAAGCTTACAATCGACTATGCGAGCGCATCCAAGATTGTTCAAATTCTGCCAGACTGCTCAGAGTGGGGTCAGACGTACATTCTGGAGGCTATGATGAACTACGTCCCCCAGGACACGAGCGAAGCTGCTCTCCTCGCGGAGCGCATATCCCCACGTCTTTCCCACTCGAATTCTGCCGTCGTTCTTACCTGCATTCGCGTAATCCTCTACCTAATGAACTACATCAGCGACCAGAAAGTCGTCACTTCATTATGCAACAAGCTGTCACCGCCGCTCGTCACTCTCCTCTCCAAAGGACCCGAGATTCAATACCTAGCACTTCGCAATGCCCTCCTGATCCTACAGCGCAGACCAGAAGTATTGCGGAACGATATCCGTGTCTTCTTCTGCAAATACAACGACCCTATATACGTCAAGGTGACGAAGCTGGAGCTCATCTTCATGCTGGCGACGGAGAGGAACATCAAGGAAGTGTTGACAGAGCTTTCTGAGTAAGTTCTTCAAGATTACTGTGAATACCGGTAATTGACTCCACGGCAGATACGCTACTGAGATCGACGTCGACTTTGTGCGCAAGTCCGTACGCGCCATTGGCAAACTTGCCATCAAAATCGCGCCGGCTGCACAATTGTGCATCAGCACCCTCCTCTCGCTCGTCAGCACGAAAGTGTCATACATCGTACAAGAAGCGACCGTCGTCATCCGCAACATCTTCCGGAAATACCCCAACCAATACGAGTCGATCATCTCGACACTATGTGAGAACCTCGACTCACTAGACGAACCAGAAGCGAAAGCCGCTATGATCTGGGTCATCGGGCAATACGCGGACCGAATAGAAGACTCGGACGTCTTGCTAGAAGACTTTCTGGATACCTTCCAAGAAGAGACCCATGAGGTGCAATTGGCGCTACTGACTGCCACGGTCAAGTTGTTCATCCAAAGACCTACTCGTGGTTCTAATCTAGTACCCAAGGT